TTTGCCTGGAACATTCTAAATGCGCGGGTCGTCCAAATTTTTGTAACTGGTGCGAGTTGCAACAATAAAAAATTCTCTAGCTAGCGCTGCGCGTCTTGGTCGTCTCGGTTCTTTGTTGGTCTATGCCAAAATGTAATCGACAAAAGAAGCTGCTTGAAGCTCTGTACTTTTTTCACCTACTACGTCCAAGCTGCTTACATTTTTTTGTAATTATATTTCTATTACGTTACTAGAGCCTCGCACACTAATTCCCGAGTGTGCAATGCAAAATTATAATGAGATACCCAGAAACCCGTTGCAGGTGCCCTGAAGTCGCTGACGCAGATTTTGAGGATCCGATCCCTGTTGCAGGATATGCTGCTCAAAATGTGAGAAAGAAGCACATTTTGTGTTCATCCTGCGCAGCATGCCTTGTGGACAAGAACAAGAATAATTCAGAGCTGACGACCCTCAAGTCTTACACAGGGGACAAAGGAAAGAATCAATTTTTCATGGTTTCGGCTCCCTTCGTCACTCTGCTGGAATGCTGGAAAATGTAGAAGCATTCTTCCAGTGCAATGCGAAGAAACTAGTAACCTCACAGATGCCACTTAACACATTCGGAGAGGAGTATTTGAAGAGCCACCCCAGCGACCTCCCCCAGTGCCACAATATTTCAAAGAAACTTAACGGTGAATTTTTTTCTGCTAAGATTACGGACTGCGCTGCACAAAATTATTGCGAAACTGGATGCCACGAAGAGAAGCGCAAAGCGTGGAAGCAAATCTGTTGGAATGCATGAATCCGTGAGAAAAGTTAGGTAGCTCTTTGAATCTGTAAGAGATATTACGTAAGAGACCACTTCTCGGCATCGCAGAATCGTGATTTCAATGCTCGCATGACCTGTCATTAATATCACTATACTGCAATACTGGAAAATGCTCTCTTGTTTGAGTTAACACCATGTTGCTCACCCGATTTCTAATTTTCTCTTACCTTTTGTGCTTTTTTCTGTAGTACAGCCTTGTGTTTTGAGAGTCGAAAATGCAGGTATTAGTGTTCCTTCGTTATGTGCACAGTTGTGCTGGCATAATGCTACGCGCGCAGCTGGCGAAGTAGGAAGCGCAGCCGTGGCCTAATGGTTATCGCGCTCTCCTTCCACGCAGAAAGCCAGGGTTCGATTCCTGGCCGCGAGTACGTACGTTTTTTTTTTGTTTTTTTTACTCTAATGTGATGTTCTGGTAAATTCGAGAACTGTGTTGGCTAATTCGAGGTTAGAATGTTCTACACGCCGAAACTTCTACGGCCTTTGTTCCAGAAGCCCACGCGTGTACAAAAGGGGCTCCGCGTGGCACGCCGGAGTCAGTTTCGCCCAAGCGTTCGACTCTGCTGTCACGCCGACTTCGACGCCCGCGATGCTCTTTTTTCTGTCTTTTTTTTTTTTTTTTTTTTTTTGGGGGGGGGGCACAAGTTCGCCCCATTAAACGATTAGTTTCTTCAATTATTATTGCCTCATCAATTGTCATTCGTGACAATATCTCAAGCAATGCCCAGTTATTTATTTGAAGCTGAAATTCGGCACAGTTGCTAGATTTAAGTTTTCAGCTTCTGAAACGTTCACTTGGTTCGTGTTTTTCTTCTAAAGCTTTGTGAAATGGTTTTGTCGGCGTTTTTGGTGTGGTATACCAATCTGGAAAAAAAAATTGCTGTTTTAGTGTGGCAGTGACGGAGTTTACACTACAGTCGTTTAATGTCCAAAGCTCGCGAACTATCCAGAAACAAGGCAAACAAGGTGATTATCTTTCCTGTAGAAAACCGAGGTCATACGTCGGTGTTGAAGTTTAGAGCTGCCAACCGACAGACACTAAAAGGATGGATGACAGTCACCATGGAGAATAGAAGGGTAGGAGAGGGCATGACGTCGACCGCGTAGCCTCCACAAGCCATGCTCTCTTGACGCCTCGCCTCTTTCTCATTTTCCTCCTTACTCTCCTCACTTACCATGCCAACGTGACCACATCACGTGACCATAGCTAGCCTTCGTCTTACTATAGGCTACTAGAATACACCACAGTCTAGCCCTCGATCTGATAAAACCTACCGGACGGAGCGCGCGCAAGCATGCAAGGAGTCCTTCTACAATCAACCATCCATCTCACACGTGACATGTCACGCGCACCAATCGCCAGAGAGATCTGCGGTCACGCTGGGCACAAAATCGTTTAAACTTTTTATGACTAGGCTTCACCAATATTGCAACGTGCCCCCTCCTAGTACTTCTAACCTCCTTGACAGTCACAGACGAATAGCAGGTTTTGTTTTCCGCCAGCTCAATTTCAGTAGCCGTATTTCAGTAGGGTGTAGCCCGGGAGACTATATAATTCCAAACAAAATACAAGGCTACCATCGACCAACGCTTGTTATCCCGACCATCCGACAAATCTTTCCGTTTTGTGACGTCAAGCAGCAACTACGGATGTCAGCCATTGACACTGGCGAAATTCGGGGTGCAGTTTCGTACATACGCTCATGAAAGGTTTAATTATTAACGGGAGATCATATATCAAAATAAATACGACGTTTGTGGTCATGAAGGCTCCCTCGACGTAACGAGCGCAAAAATTTAAGTACTTCCGGTTTCGACCGGGCAATCCCTTTAAATCATAGTTATTATAATGTACGCTAGGGGTTCAACTGGCGCTAGTGTGCTGTTGCAAATTGAAGCAGACAGCAAGCAGTCCGAAATTGACTTCCGGTAATGCATTTCTATGGAAAAAAGCGAGTGAATCTCCCCTCTGCGCTCGATTATAAGAGCAAACATCACGAATAATTCGTACGTACTAGGCACATTGGAACATTTCCCAGTCACGCAGATGAAATAATTGGTCAGTTACGGCGTTTTTATTTTAAAATCGTGGCATGAAAAACGGTGCTAAAACCACTTCGTACATGTATTTATATGCACTGTCGGACACTGTTAGCGCGAACACAGCGTCGACGCTTTCCAGCATGGGGGATATACGTGCCAAACGAACCAAGGACATAGGGAAAACCAAGAGAGACGGCAAGTACTACGCAGTAACACTGGGTAAGTAACTCCTTGTGCTTGCAGACGATCAAAATAAATTGAAAGTCACGTAATATAGTCTGATTTGCAATAAATAAGTACTGCTTTATTCTTTCTGCTCATGAATATGTGCGAAGATTCTTGTTCTGTTCAAATCACCCGCACGCTCCAAATCTGTGCAAATAGGGGGAAGCCAGAGGACAGGTGCGCGATAAAAACTACCCAACATAGGACATAAGAAAACACATCTTTCGTAGTCCACGTCCTTTATTCTTTACGTTTCAAACGTTGTTTTTAACCACTCGTAAAGGTGCACGACGGGGTCATTTTCATATAGTGAGAGGACAGGCATATTAGCAATATATAAGCACCAACGGAATGCTGGCGAACTTTGAACACGCTCTACATTCCTTTCGATCGTTATTTTGCTTGGAATCGTCGCTCGTTTCTACATACCTGCCATGGAACAGAGGTTTGGGCCTGAAATATAGCAAAGTTTAGCATCGTTCAGTGGTAAAGGAAAAATGCTTTAACTAAAGCAATTACACTTTCACAATATTAATAAAGGTACATACTACCCGGTACAACCGAAATAACAAAAGTTATTCATGTTATTTTTCGGCGACGAGACAAAATTCACGCGCGTTTTCCCATAGGAATACACAGGAAGACTGGAAAAGTATACTGCATGCTGTCTGCTTCAATTTGCAACCGGAAGTCTCGTAGACACTAGCGCCAGCTGAGCCTCTAGCGTTTCTTGTAATAACTCTATGCTTTAAATAATTTACGCTTACGGTTTTAACGAATTTCAAACAACGGTTTCGTTCCGGTTACGGTTACTGAAAAAATTTCGTTCCTAAACGGTTTCGGTTCGAGTCCCAGTACGGGTGGGATGTGGGTGACGTCACCGATCGGCGCAACCAGCTGGTCACCCGCTGGCTCTCCTTGTGCGGTGGCGAGTAGAAACATCGAGTAGGTGTTGAGCAGAGGGTATCTACAGGGAGAGTCAAAGGGATCGATGGCTGTTTGAACGGACGGTATATGTCGTTTCTAAACGTATGACAGATGTCAGCAGTGTTCTCCTGCTGATATCTGTCACTCATAGGAGGCACCGGAGTACCGCATTTTTCTGCGTCAATTTCGGTGATGACACCACTTTTTTCGTTGGCTTGTTTTGGCTGCTTCCCTTCTAGTTGAGGCGCCTCACCCAGCCTAGAATCTGAGGTTTCCGCCGGAACGCCGCCCGGCTGGCATTCCCCGTACCAGAGAGCAACCTTCACCCGCTCGTTGGGAGCTAAGCGCACCACGATGACTTGCATCCCAAAAACAGCACGGGCGGCAATTGCAGAGATGAGGTGCGGTAACAACCAGCGAGTACAGTTTCCGTTCTCGTTTTACCTTCATTTTTCGTGTTTTATTGGGAGAATATATTTATAGACTGACAATTTCGTGCAGAAAAAGAGCGAATCGCTTCTGGCTCAGAAATGTCTGCTATTAGCTCGCGCTGAAGGCGGAGGGTGAAGTTCACCCTCCGCCTTCAGCGCGAGCATAGAAGTGATGCGGTTCACCCGGTGAACCGCATCACTTCCGCGCTCGCTGCGTATTTGTAGCGATATGGTGCGCATTTGCCGCGTACCGCAGTACTTGAAGCATGCTTTTGCAGCGCGGAGGACTGCAGCACGTACCCGACGACGCTGTCCGCCGTCGGCTCTGGTGCAACGCTGCACTCAATGACATGATCAGAGTTGAGCACACAGGCAGAAGGTTTTCCGTTTGTCTCTAGCTTAGTTTTATATTTGTTTCCTTGCGTTGCCTCCCAAGTTTCCAGACCAATATTGAGACAAAGTAGGTATGGCAGAACACAAAGGTTTGAACTAGTCCCTCTGGCAAAACAAAGCAACGTTTTTTTTTGCTCATACACCAATACCAATTAAAGAGCAATGGCCACGGAGGGTAAAGGTGTAGCAAAATTTATTTGTTAAATTGCACAGCCGCACCAGACACCTGGAAACTGACATATCCTCCATGAATAGACAAAGACGAATTTGAACCCAACCTGATATACGGCTGCTCAAGCGAGGTATATTGAGCTACAACTTCCTCTATGCAAATTCCACAGAGACTGCAATGGGAATAAATGCGATACAAAAATAATTATACAAAACAAATCTAATACAGTGGCACAGAAGTGCGGTGTTGTGGATTGTTAGCATCACATTTACAAGCTTGTCAAGTGTTTATGGTACTTTACATTTTTTAATCACATTACAGTGCAAGGTACAGAGAAAAAAAAACTGATGCATTTGAAAGAGGTATTGAAAAATTGTATATACAAGTTACAACTAGCATACAAAACCAATGCATTCCAGCCCAATAGGGAAATGGACCCGCTGGCAGAGTCGGCAACCCCATGCAACCGACACTACATACACACCAAAAAATAAGCGGAAATTATGTGGGGACACATTAGAGTACAGCAGCAACATTAAGTGCCAGCAACTACCTTTTCTGAAGCTTTCAGACGAGGCTGCTTGTACACAAAGCTAATGAAGGAAATAATTTATAGTACAACACCACCCTTCACACAAAAACTCTGTCATATTCTAGTAGAAGCTTTGTCCCTAATAGTTGAATGGCCTTTATGTCTACTGCAGCCGTGGCCACCGCTTTGCAAGGTGAAACCGACTATGTCTAGCACTGTAAACAAGAATTACATAAAATCTATCGAGGTAAGCATCGATGTGTCCGAAAGTGATCAAAATATGCAGGGTGGAATGTTTACAAAAAACATGCTGAGAAACACCAGGTACTACAGAAATACATTCTTTTTTTTTTTCTGGAAGACAAAGAAACAAAAACGATGCACTTCAAAACTGTTGTAGACCAACTTATATGGCATTCCACCTAATGTGCAGATTATTTTTATTTTAATGTGAAATCCCATTGTCAAGTAAAAAAAACCAGGAAGAATAAAGCCTAGGTTGTCATGCCAATTTTCTTATCTAGTACTCTAGTAGGATACAAATTTTGTATCATACTAAAATACTGTCCTATTTTCTTTTTAATATTAAAATACACCTTTACTGTATCTTTTTTTTTTTATCGTACTAAAATAAATTTTGTATCCTACAAATATGAGGCACAAATCACTTATTTGGTTACCAATTTTGTAGGGTTTTCATTAGCTTTAGTGTGAAGAAACTGACACTTGTGGGAAAGGATTTAAGGTTCTGGTACCACAGTGGCCCTTTATTATGATAACAGAACAAGTGGTAATGCTAGAAGATTACTTTTGGGCATTCTAGGGCAATATATGTTAGTTATAGCTAGATTATTAAATTATATAAATATTGCCAAGGTTTAATATTTTTTAATAATATTAAAGTTAGGAGGGTGACAATTCTACATTGCATATTCAATGTTATAATGAAGTGGAAAGAATTTTTCAGAACTTTTGTAAACCACCAAAGCCATACTGAAATAAACATACAAAAAGCCCTAATCCATTTTTTGTTATAACATTGAATATGCTATAAAAAATAATCACCCCCAACTTTAGTATTAAGGACAAATATGAAATTTGGGGCAATATTTTCTTATTATCTAACTACATAATCTATCTATTACAATAATGGCTTTCTATTGAATCCCCAGGATCAAAGGAGATGTATTGGCAAAGCTACTATTGACTATTTTGACACTTTAACTGGCAATCAAGTGAAAACAGTTATATAGCCATTTAAGAAGGCTACCATGGGACCAGAGCCTTGACATAAGGGCATTAGTACTTCATGATGAGTTGAAGTCAGTAATGAAAGATGAAAAATATGAATGCATGTAAGAGGGAACATGCCATATATTTGGCAAACAGCGGTAACAAAAAAATTCAGAAAGCACACGATTCCTTAAAAACTAAAAATGCACAATCACGAAAACCTTCCGCCAGAGCATCTACTTTGCTTTCACTTGGCTGAGCAGGTCGTCGTACAGCTTTGCCAGCTGAGCATTTTCCTCAGTCTGCAAAAGGGGCACAACAGTTAGGCGACGCACTTGGTGCAAATTCACAGTTTCAGATCCTTGCCGTCACACCCACCTTTTGTTCAAGCCGCTTCTCCAGACAGCTGTTGTCCATCTCTGCTTTCTTCAACTGGCCTCTCAAGACAGTGATGTCTGCTTGGAAATTCTTCTTAGAGTCTTCAATCTCTTTGCTAGCCCTGAAGCAAAATCAGGAATAATAAAAATTTAGAGCAGATACCACATACTAGAATGCAAAACCCAACTCCTGACACAACATTCAAATTCACAAATTCAAGTTCAGTAGACTCTCGGTAATTCAGTCCCTTTATTCGAATTTTCAGTTTTGTTGGCAACAGGGATACAGTTCCGGCAATTACACATAAAAGGCCAAGGGAAAAACTCGCGGATATTCAAATTTTAATCTCTGGAAATGGTCAATTCAAAAGATTTTTCACATGCTCAGTAAGTCCGGCAACTGTTGGAGCACGAAAAAGCCTCACGATTATGCTGACCAAGCTTAAACCGCACCCATCAATCATTTTTATCTATCTCGTGCAGGAACGAGCGTGGCATGCAACAAAGTGGCCAAGCTAATTCGTAACTTCCACGGCTATAGTTCTTATCAAAACGGCTGACATCTGGATGAAGTACGAGGTTGGATCTGCGACGCGCAAGGAATTCTAATTTTGTGAAATACAAGCGATGCAAGAGTCGTATCAGATACTTCCACGTAAGGAAGGGGTAAGCAAGCACCTTCATTCGGAAGCAGATCATCCAGGAGCTAGGGTAAGGCGATTTTCTCAACGCGGTACCACAGTCACTGAAAGTTGCAAATTAAGCGGCCAAGCCACGCCAGCTAGCGCCGTTCCCGTGGAAGTTACGGAAGCAAGTGTGGCCGTGCAGTGCATACGGCCAACAAAGCTTGGTTTCGGGCATAACCCAGCCTTGAGAGGTTTTGTCCATCGAATATATTGGTGTCAACAATCATGCCGTGGTCTCTAGCCCGCTTTTGAACCGCGACGTAGTTGCAAGTGGTTAGGCCTAGGAACGATCTCGGCACTTTTCGTGCAGGGTGCTGCTAACGCAGAACCTGCATGTGGCACCACGGAGTCTAATTTGGCGTTTTCTTTGGAGGAGAAAATGCGCAAGGCACTCAGGAAAGGTTTGCAATTTGCAGAGCATAGTCGATACTGCAAGTCTTTGTTGGCGGAACGCTGAGAGTTTCCCTTAGCAGAGGCAAGTAAATGTCAACTTCTCCTGGTGAGAATCAAATAAAAAAACACACAATTCAACTGTGTATATATATATATATATTTTTTTTTTTTTGATGTACGGGCACTAATGGAGGGCTTACATTTGCGAAAAAATTCGCCGCCACTGAAGCGAAACTGGTGGTGACAGGAAACAGAATGTTTAGATCTATTTCTGCCAGCGGCCGCCGTTTTCTTGTCTGCTCTCAAAGAGATGCGACAAGAAGGTGCAAGATTTCTTGTTGTATGCTGCTCCCCACCACCCTCGGAAAGATCTTTGAGCATGTTCAGTACGAGTAGGCTTAATTCACGTTGATACTGGATCCTGCACCGCCGCGCTCATTTCGCCACATAGGAGAAACCGCAAGATGGTCAAGATCTACAGCAAAGAAGACGAGACTACAACGATTCCACGTTTCCAACTTGGTATGTAGCAGGACACGCAGCGCAAATCAAAGAAGCAGCTGAGCACCGTCAGCGATGGTGAATCATGTCTTCTCAAGACCGCAAAAGGAAAAAAGGAATGCACCCCCTGCCTTCTTTCTTGTCTTCGTGTGTGAATCGGGTGAATCTTTCCATAGCCGTGGGCGGTGATGCCTTTGCTGAGAACAAACAGAAAGACTAGCCCCTCCTCGCACCTCGAATGAACGTCAAGTGGACTCCTCCCGCATAAATAGCTGATCTTTTTTTTAGGGATCCGCTGATTCCCCTTCTTTCCTTCGTCGCAATGGCGTACCAACTTGTTTTTCAGTGGGGTGGTGCCCTTGTTTTCCCTTGGGCGCCGCTGGCCAGTGTTTTCCCTGCCCAGTAGCCCAGCGTTTCAGGTTTCAGGGGGGGGGGGGGGGGGGGGGGACAAAACGCACGCCTTGCCCCCCACACTCCGAGAGCTGGGGGGGCAAGCGCTCCCCTTGCCTCCCCGGTTGGTACGCCCATGCTTCGTCGTTTGTGTTATTTCTTGTGTCGTAAAGGGTCAAGGTGTTTGAAGTACAGTGTAGACCGCATATAACGTATGTCGCGGGAGTCGCGAAAATCCGTACTATAAGCGGTACTGCGCTATAACCAAAACATCAATTTTTCTGGCCAAAATACATGCCATGAGACAACTTACCTTTGTAAAACAATTTATTTTATATTAGATAAAAAATAAAGCTTACTTTGAGGAAAGTCTTTATTTCACAAGACTAGTACACTTCTATCTCAAGTGTGTCACACATTTTGAAAGAAATGAGTGACTTTTGCCTCGCGCAGCCTTTTAACGGCATCGCAGGTTGCAGACGGACGTTGCGAGCGTTCAGGAATGCTAACCCTAATCACTTTTCTCTGGTGATGAAAACGCGTGAAAATTCGCATCCTTTATACGGTACGCGCATGAAATGCTCCAAAAAAGACATGAAATGCTCCAAATAAGAAATACGGGCGATGTTCGAAAACACAAATGCTTCGAAGTAAACAAACACGACGACACGGGCGTTTCTGCTGTCTTGAGAGTGCCGCCATGACATTGCCGCACGAGTAGGTGAATCTTCCCTTCTAGTACGTACTGGGTTATCATAGTGACACACAACGAAAATTTAGTCAAGGATAGCGCTTTTACGCGGAACGATGAGCTTCCACTACGCCGTCGACGTCGACAATCACCACCGACGCCATGTTTGCGGATAGAAGAAGCCGGCCCGCGACCGGCATGCAACGCGCGCGAACAGCTGGTTGGGCTTGCCAACGCCTTGCGCCGTGAACGACACGTGCGTGCGTCCCTCCGTCGCTATGGCAACTGAAGCCTCTCTCTTCGCTTCTCCCTACTTCTTCGAGCAACCTCCTTGCCATCCTTGCCCCCGCGAGTGCCGCTTACGGCTAGCGCCGCTATCTGGTGTCGCACAGGGAAGCGTGCTCGCTGCGACGGTTGGTCGGCGCAGTCGGCGCGCTGCTTCAAAAACCGCACTATAACCAGTATTTCCCTTCGCGCGCCTGCATTTTAAGCGGTATGTAATTACATGGAGTTCTATGGGAGGCGAACCGGTGGTTTAAAAAAGTTGCGTTATACCCGGTCCTGCACTATAAGCGGTTACGTTGCAAGTGGTCTACACTGTATGTGGTTTGGATAGTATCGGACTACAGCGTGTCGGGCGCAGTCGCTCTTTGCAAAGCGAGGCTGTTCTGTTTTATATAGAACTCAAATGTCACACGGATTACATATCGTTGCATGGTATGTATGTTTTATTAACCAAGTAAACTTTTTTCGAAGAGGCAGCGGGGATTGAAACAGACATGGGAGATCATGTTAGCTACAAGACCACACTAAGAACTTCCAGATTACGACCATTAATTTCCCGTGCACCCTACTTGCTACGTAGCAGGAGAAGCAGCGCACACCAAAAAAGCAGCAATGCCATTGGCAGTGGCGATTTGTCCATGCCGCAAAAAATCCTTCCTCATCCTGACAGGTGAATGTTTATCGAGCCATGAGCTATGCCACTGCTATAAACAAACAGAAAAAACCGGAAGGATGTACCACACAATGTAACTTCTGGCAAATGCTGAATGGCTCGCATCAGGCGAAATGCTTCACCTGGCGGAAAAATTGGGTCCCGGACGGATCTAGACTTTCTGCCCGTGACGAGCCACTGGGCTCCAAATTCCGCTCGTCGCTGTAATAGGATCCGCCCGTAAATTCGCAAATGTAAACACACCACAAGGTGGATTCTGAGATTGTCTTTTTATGGTGTGAACTCTATCTATGCACCCTAAGAATCCTATAAGACTCAGAATTACAATCTCATAAAAACATCATCTCAAAATCAACTTTAGTGCTCCTTTAGTTCAAAGTGTTTAGCTATTTCCGTGAGCATTGAATTATTGAGAGCAGGCTATCAAAATAGTTGGAGATACAAACCCTAACACAGTAACATTTTGAAAAAATTTCACGGGAGTGAAATTTTTTTCCCATGATTTGGCTACAGTCAATGACAGTGCCGCATTAGCAGCAAGATGAGGTCGATGGGCTAGTTGGTAAATTTCAAAATTAAAGCGCCAGAGAACACTGACTCGGAAAGGAGACCAACAGATGTACTTTCAACTATCTAACCCTCCGACTACCCAGGACAAGTCCAACTTATCTAACAATGCATACTTCACTGTCCATTCCAAGAATACGCAGAAAATGCATACCCTTCAAGACTCTCTTCCGTCTTGGCTTTGAGCAGGTTGAACATCTGGTTGCTTTTCTCAACTCCTTCCCGGTAGTCGGCCAGTTGCTGCTTCAGGATGGACTCGTTCTAAGAGAACAGTGAATTGTGCGGTGAATGAATGAAATTGGGGCTTTTTTTTTTTTTTTTTTGGCACATCAGCAACAAAGGCCATAGTGTCCCACAACTAGTGAAATGTATGGTGGTGCCGAGATATGCCATGTCTGCCATCAAGTTGCACCTCATGCAGCCACATACATGAAAAGAGAACTTTAACCAGAGAGTACTCATTGCATACCTCTTTCAACGTAGAGATTGCTTGCTTGGCCTTCTCGTAGCGTCGGTGGAAGTCCGCAAAAGCGATTTCCATGTTGTGCAAGTCCCCCGCCAACTGCACAAAACAACCACACCTTAGTCAACTTCTCGAACAACTTGCTGTTCAGAGTCCTCAAAACTATGGAGCTCAGTACTGGGTTACTTAATCACACTTATGTTTGAACAAGTTACCTGGACACCCGAAGGGGTTCCCAAACAAAATATTGTTGTTATAGTTGCTATTTATCTAATTTAAAAATCTTGCTAAACAAACAAAGTAGTGGAACACCATGTCAGTGGCCTATAGAGCCAAAAGTCACTGTATTATTTCCATATAACAGGTGTTTCACCAAAAACTAAGGGCAATTTTCTTTATAATTCACAGCCCTTCTTCGCAAAGAGAGTTGGGTCGAAAACATAAAATGCTTCCACTAAATATGTCGCAGAAGTATTCCTTGCGCTAAAGTGTGTTTTACTCAATTTTATACTTCCGTGCAACAGTGGCAAAGCTATTGAAAGATATGCGTGACTTCGTCTGGCATTTCATTTCCGGGGCGAGACACTAGATGAAGCTTTGCACTCCTGCCAGTAGCTCGGAAACAATTGTATACTGAATATGAAACAGAGTATAGAGTAGCAGCGCTGCAGATGCAGTAGCTAGAGCAAAAAGTGTGCTGAGAATCAACAGAGTTCGGCCTTCACAGGCCATGGTGCACCTGGGACCACGAGAGGAAATCAGGTCGGCACCTGGCCACTCTCTGGCCATCTATAGAAATGCAGAAAGGGCTCAGTTTTCAAACAAGTCTTTAAATGCTTTGTTTTGGCACCGAAGGCCGAGGCCACTACAGTAAGGAAGCATTTCATGATTTAGAAAGAGACACTTGAAACAAAGAGACTAATATTCCTTTGGGATAATGTTGTCGACCATGGCATACATCAGTGTATGAATAAAAGGTGATAATTAGCCATTGAATTACTTAAAAAACACTACCTTTGAAAGATTCACCTTATCTGGCGCATTCCCATTAGAGATTTGTTGACAGTGGTCGAAACGTCAGGATGGAGAAACAAATAAATTGATTTAATTTTGAGATTTAGATCATGATTTGAATCTCCTAAACTTTACCGTCGTAGCCTTCAAAAAGAAAAAAATGAATAACCTTTAACAACCTCGAAACATTTTCTTTTTTGGACTTGAAATTTCCTTCCTCAATACTTCTGATGAAAGGACACACTTTTTGCTTTCACAAAGGAATCATTAAAGGGATTGTCCAGTCAAAATTTGTATTCGAGAAAACAATTGAATATCATTGTTATTGCCTCGAGACACATCATATGTGCAATATCTTAATTTTATATGCCCCTCTAAATGAGTAATTGAATTTATACTGCTCCAATCGCATCTTAGCGTAAACGCTGTTTTCGTTGGCGACATTGAAACTCTGACGTCGCAACGCAAAGCGAGCGTTCCCGTCTCGTTGTTTGCCTACGAGTGAACGCCGCAGCGTGCTTAGTTTTTGTTGCTGCGCTCAACTTGTTTCGTGGATGGGTGAGGTTTTTGTTGCGTGGTTGGGTGCCACAACCACCGGGCTACACAAGCGAGCCAAGACGTGATGTTCCTCACTTTTCTGCGAGACGTGCAGTGATGAGCAAAATGGATCATCGCCGTGCGTAGGGACTGGGTTCCCGCCAAGATAGAGATCCCCCTTATGCAGCAATCATCTCCCAGAAGAGAGCTACGAGCTGAGCTCTAAGCAGACAGAAGGCTCGTAAGCTGAGGTGTCATGGCTGTGCCAACGATATTCAACTATGTACACCCACTCCTCACCCAAATCGAATCAATTGGTTTGATTATACAGCGAAACCAAAACCAACGGCGAGGCCATTTGGAAACTATCCCAAAAGTTGTATTTAGCACGCGTGCCGCCTAATTCTGTTCCACCCGCAAGTGAAAATGGAGCGTGGCTACGATTCACCAAGCTCGTCCAAGTCAAGCGACGACATGCATTTGAACGATTCGCCGTTTGCCTTCAACCCACAGAAATCGCCTCCGAGGGAACGACCCGCAGCCTCATCACCGATCCAGTGCATCCGCAGCTATGTGTACCCAGATGCCGCTTCGTGTACCTAGGTGCCGCTTCAGAGGCAAAAAAACAATCGGCATCCTTTGCTTTGCAAGAGCTCCTAGTTCGAACGGTGGCCCGTCGCAGTTGTGTTCGCGCAAGACAGCACAAGTGTGCTCGAAGCTTATGGCTGTTTGAGTCCTACTAAAAGGCGTGACTTTTTTTGCACACGCTCGGGAACTGCATTAAAAGAAAAGTACTATTTCAGTAAGGAACAGCCTAGGAGACTATATAATTCAAAACAAAGAATAAGACATCCGTCGACTAACGCCTGTTATCCCGACCATCCGACAATCCTTTGGGTTTTGTGACATCACGCAGCAGCTACAGATGTTAGCCATTGACACTGGTGCAATTCGGGGTGCAGTTTCATACATACGCTCTTGAAAGGTTTAATTAAGGAGATTGTATATCAAAATAAATATGACGTTTGTCTATACGAAGGCACCCTTGACGTAACGAGCGCATAAACTTAAGTACTTCCGGTTTCGACCTGAAAATCCCTTTGAACGAAGTTTTGTCCCAGTAGAGGAAAAAAAAACAATGTCCCTCTTCTCAGATAACAAACCGGAGCAGTGCTTTTCCCTTTGCTCTCGTAACTCTATACTGAAAACAAAAAATGTTAATAAAAGTAAAAAAAGCTGATGAAGAAGCAATGTGCGACTCTTCCCATTCTGTCAGAGCCCCCTTTTCCCGCCCCATCAGCAGGCGGACAGGTAGAATGCGTAGGCAAGCTGCCTCGATAACAATTCTTCATCCGTTAGTGCTTTCTAGCGTGCTGCTCGTAAATGAATTAAGCCAAGACCCTTTCGAACGGCCAGCATCAGGCATTCATCCCTCTAGTTACACTGGCCGTCAGTATTTCGGAATGAAAGGGCACTCCTGTCTGTTCAAGTCTGCGTGTCGTGGTATTGTTTATCCTCAGACCTACATACAATGTAAGATCTTTAGAGAAGATAAGAATGGTTACCTCAACTTGCTTATATTTAAAAGTTTGCTCACTAACATCTGGAACATAAATATAATTGCCCTAGTTTTGAAACTGAAGTATTAAGTGGTTTACATTTACCATCAGGAGGAGTATATCGAGGAGTAGTACTCGATGGTCTAATGTAATTTAGGAAGAATTACTCCTGAAAAAAACTTGAGCTAAATTTGTAATCTTTAAATAAACTTTGAAATATTGCGGCGAAAAGTTTTTTAAATTGATTTAAATCAAACAAGTCCAACTTTATTCTTCATATATTTTTTTTCTACTCTGCCAAATATGTTATAACTGTTGTTAGAAGTCAAAGAACTATTCTTCGTGCAATTCAATGGCAAAGTTAGGCTGGTTAGAGTCCACCATACCGACACTAAAGAGAAAAAGAGAAAAAGAAAAAAAGCGCCAAAAGCTGCACGCTTGAGGGGACCGAGAACATTACAACATTTCTCCGGCCACATGACCCTTCGATAGTGTGACGCTGTCGGATCGGGATTGCTACGACTCACGACCTGTGCCCGTTGTGGAGGCCGAAGTCTTATCCGAGTGGGACATCCGTTGCTCTTTTGCGTATTAATTTTGCTACCTAAACCTTATCGTGGCTTATATTTGCCAGAAAATAGCGCGGACCCGAGTTCAGTCATCTTCCCACAGCTACGGGATACTTTTGACAATGGGCAACAAATCTGGGTTTTAAAATCTGGTTGTTTGTTCGTTACGATGTTGCCTTCCTGTTAACACGTCTCAGGGAGACAGGACCTCAGCCAAGCTGCAACAGCAGCTTTATGTTCTGGTTTCCTCCCTTTTGTACAAAGCAAGTAAAATAAAAGCCTTATATTTGAAATGGGCCAGGTAAGAAGAATATTTCAAAAGTTAGTGGGTTTTATATAAATATGTAGCTAATGATCACTTTGCACTTGTAACCGGACGTCCGTCATAGCAGAGAAAGTTATCCCGCAGGAATAAATTTTAGTTTAAGTGACCTTTCTTTTTATTATTCTCAGGCAGTGAAAAACCGGGTACAATAAAGTATGAAGTCAAAACCAGCAGCAATACCTGTTGCGGGGATTATGACCCCAACCCCCCCCCCCCCCCCCCCCCCGCAAAAAAAAAAAACATAGCCGCCCCCCTCCTCCCCTCCCCTCCCCTCCCCAAAAAAGAAACTTTTCAAATCTCATGAAAGAAGACATCTGGCAGTTCTCTTTATATATTGTTTCATACTTAGCATACAACGCTGCCAAAGCTACTGGTGCGAGCGTGTGGCTTCATCTATGGTTTCGTTTGAGAGAGAATGCATGCAAATGAGCTGCGAGATCAAACCCAATGCTCACGCCACCAGGTTTGACAGCGCTGCACATTATGTATGAAACAGAGTTTAGTATGTATCACACGCCCCAGTTTTTCTCTTACAAGAGCCTGTGCGACTTCTTACTTGTCGATCTTTCGTATGCAGCTAGCTGTCTAATTGTGTGTTTATCAGTTGAACTTTTTGTTCCATGTGTTAGTGCGACTCCAACTTGCTTAGCATTGTAAGGAAGCCTTGTTAGTGTCACACACTAATTAGCATCACAAATCTCTCATTCAAATAAAAAGCAAAGCCAAAATAAGAAACAGCTTGTCAGAAACTAAAATTTACAATGTACCAGCAGTACAAGCAGTACAAAGGTTCCATGCAACATTGTCATCCTAATAGACCCTTTTCCAAATTCACTGCCATCTGGTGGCTCAAACAGCAGTTTCACTTTTGCCACACTAATGGCAGCCATGAAAATGTATTTCGACTGCACTACTGCATTTACACAACAACGGCAGATAAGAAGGTGCTTTTCACGTCTCCCTCCGTTTTGCTTTCGATGGTGTGAAAAAAACAACTTACCAGTATGAAACGCCAGCCCATAAACCCCTTGATAAAATTCCAGTCATCAAGGGGTTATAGAGGCAACTTTATGCTAAATTACTGATTAGACCAAAGTTATAAACAAGTGCTGGTGTGGCACTTGTATCCAAATGGTGAGTCGGGTTCTGCCAACGCCTCTAGCTTATTCAGGCTTTATATCCTACGCTTGGGAACATCTTCAACTTCTTCGTAAGGTAATAGCAGGCAGTCATTAGTATGGCACAGAGGGGAAGGGTCTATTCGCTGTGAACTAGCACTACAGTTGGCTTGGTATTAACAAGCCAACTGCAGGTGATTCGACAGGTTTCATTTCCAAAACGACGACATGAGCATATATTTTCAGGACCTGGTACATGGCAAAAAGGGTTCCAGTATTCAGAATTGGAAGAAAAGAATTCCCCAGGGACACGCACCTGATCACGCTCTTTAGTTATCTTCTGGAGCGAAGCGGTCTTCTCGTCCGTGTCCTTTTTCTTGCCGAGTACGTGGCGCTCTATGGCAGACACGATCTGCTCATTGTGGCTGCATTCAAGAAATGCAACAATCATTCTCAAGCATGACTATGGCATTAGGAAACACACACCAAGAATTGACTGGCTGGTAAGTTGGGTCCCCAAGGAGGGGACCCACGCAAAGTGCAACTTGAACACTCAATACATCCTCACTCATGAAGAGGCAGCTTATAAATTGAGTCACGAGGACACCACCTATCCGTGCACTAAAGCTAAAGGTGCCTCGAACCACACGAGGTTCAAAAACAAACTTTACAACGTTTGAATTTGTGAAGTTTGTGGGGGACTGCAGTTCTGAACATTTGCCATGATGCTAGCCTCGATCCACTATTGTGCCTGTATGGGCAGTAGGGGACTGCCACCAAGAGGACAGCACCAGAATAAGTAAAATAGCAAAGCCAGGGCATAGCATCCCCCTCATTGGCAGAGAAGTGATCACATGCGCAAAAATTCTCCAAAGTGATGCGGGGAAGCAGCCTTATAAAGAGCAGAGTTTTGGGCAGAACTTATCTTGCTTTGTGTTTGTGAAATAAAGATGTTACGCTACGGCCTGATCAGTAGGAAGCCTCGGTAGACGGTGGTGACTCCTCCCATTCTTCCCCAACAGCATGTACTATACTTAGTTTCACTTCAAGACCAGACACAGCCAACGCTACGAGCTGATGGGACCAATCGGACAGCGTCAAAAATGCACCATCGTGCTGCTTGTCATTTCTGTAGGTGTTCTATCATTGCTGAACCAATCGTAAACAGAAAATGCGTAGCGACCTGCACTTTTGACACTGCTTGATTTGTCCCAGTAACTCGTAGCGACCAACCAGAAAATCAAGTGCCAAGAAATTATATGCAGTCTGAAGAACAAAATCGGGAAGCAGCGAGTGCGAACGAGTGCTCCAAGCCACTTAATATGGCACCGGTACTTAAGTGGCATGCCCCCTGGTATTTGAAATTTGTCGACGCACGTGGTTGTTTATATTTATTATAACCTTAAAGGCCCTACCGGAGGAAAAGTAAGGAATGACTCAAAAGGAAGAGGAACACGAAGGAAGGCTTTGGGGAGGATAAAAAGAAAGCAAGAAAGGACATGTATTCTTCTGGACCTTTTTGAACATTTGTGACAAATATGGAAACATAAAATAATTTCTTTGTCAAGATGACATTTTTGCAATTTTCCAAACTTTGACTAAGAAACTAGTTATCCGATTACACTAAAACTTTTACAGCTTGTAGTAAGATATCTTGCCAACAGTTTGTACCTAAAAGTTAAGAATTTGTTACATTGTAACGTAAAAAAAAAGGTAAAAGTTTCCCTCTTGTGGCTCATGACAAGATATTTTTTTTTTTTTTTCAGTTTAAGGCCAGTAAGTAACATGTGGAAGATGTGTGCCAAATTAAGTGGGCATCCCATGCTTTTGTTGCCGAGAAAAGGTAAGTTAAGAACTGGAACTCAGCCTAAAATTTGACACTTGGGTAATAAAAATATAAAAAATGCTTTAGAAAAAAGTGATTGGAAAGTTAATCCTAAGGATGTAACCATTCAATACATAATATGCAGTAGTTTTTTAGGTTGCAAAATTAAAACCAAAATGGCCTGTTTACCCTACCATTCCCCTTAAGGGGTACTCTGGCGATTATTTGAGCTACCCCAACTACCGTAAAGTTCTGAAAGAACGCCCACCCAAAATGAAGATAAATGATGCAAACTATAGGGTGGACAATGTTTGGGAAGCAACAGATTTTTTTTTTTAATTGGTGATAAGTACAAAGGGGGTAGGGGGACGGGCCACCATAACAAACTATGAAACGGCAACTGATGCCATGGATTGCAGATACGGCAAAACAGTCTCATGGTGCGGTAAGTATGCAGGAATTCACTACAAACTCCCGTCACAAGAAAGGATATCGCAGAACGCGGACGCAGCACATTCACGCTTCATTGCACGATAAACGAGAAGGCGCTATAATCTCAGGTGTCACAGGAACCGATATCGTGAGCGCAGTTAGTGGAAAAAATTGCGGGGACCTGCTACAAACACGCATGTCATCGGAACAGATATCGCAGATAGCAGACGCAGCAGATTCACGTCTCACGGTGCGATAAACACGAGGGAACCCACAGCGAAAATGCTTCTCACACGTACCGATACCGCAGATCGCGCAGTCAATGCAATTGATATTGAGTAAGGATTGTAGGGTGGGCGATTTTTCTTTATTTTTACAGCAGAGCTGTTAAGGCCAAGGTTCTCGAGGATCGTGTCCGGTACAAAACACTTGTCGACAAAAATGCCTCTGGACAGCTACCGCTATCTATAAGCGACGGTGGCAAGCACACAACCAGTATGGTTGCCGCAGTCGCTAGTAGATGGCGCCAACCTTTCCAGCTATCATAAAAGAATGGATAGTTGGGCGGCGCGTTGGTGGGAATTCATCGTAGGAAACAGTGCAAATAATGGACGACAAAGAAGAAGCACACGTAACGAGCGCAGTGCTCGTCAAGTGTGTTTCTTCGTCTGTTTTGCGCGCTGTTTCCTATGCTCGTATCAGTTTTGGTTTAGACTGAGGATGGGTCAGCCGCGTGCCCCTTAGGGGAAAGAAGACTGGCTGCGGAAGGAGCGGAGACGTACGCAGCAGTGCGAATGGGTCCGTAACCGCCACAAAGCCACTGCCGCCTCCAGGCGAGCACATTGCTCGCCTGAAAAGCCGCCGCCGAGAACAGAACCAGCGATGTAAAGGGCGCCGGCAGGCCAACGGCACGGACGACGATCGTGCCACGGAGGCCAAGCGCAAGCGCAAGGCTCGGCGACGACTGCACTTCACGCCGGCTGAACAGTTCCCGGGTGCGACGGCAATGTTCCGAAGGGAGTTTGTGGATTACACGTTTGGCGTCACGTGCACCGTGTGCAACTGGCTCTGGGTCGCCGGAGACGTATCCACGATAGGCGGCGTGTCGGACAAGAAGAAGCGGGAAACGGGTGCGTGCGCGTTGCAGCTGTGTATGGAATACAGCTCCTCTGGTTTTCCTTCTTCACAAAAGTGGAAAAGCTGAACGTTTTTTATTACGAATATGCAGACCAAAAAATGGGATGGTAAACCTCTCGGGGGCAGTATCTCAGAACTTTATAGTAACTATATTTTCTGAATCACCTGCCTTCATCCTTTCCAGTATGCTATTTAGTATCACGAAATTAAGAATAGTTGATGTGAAATGGGCAAGTGAAAATGATGCCAAAATCAACATTCAAATATACCCACACGTTTGAATGCCGTGACATTGAGGAACGCAGGCTGGCAGGTCAAGCGGACAATCAAAAAGCGGACTATACCGAAAAGACAGTGAGTGTGCAGGCGAGCTGGTGATAGCTAATCATGTCATATAACACCTGAGACTGGTGGAAGAAATTGGAAACTTTTAGTAGAAGAAACATACACAGAAAGGGACGTCTCAAACTCAGCTTACTGGTATATTTCTCGACCATCGTATATATGCCCAGAAAGCCCTTCCCAACCGCACTCTACGCAGAAATCTCCTTTGTTGAAAACAGTTCCAAATGGAGAGAACATACATGACACACAAAGAGATCAAGTGCACGCACAGACAAAAGAAGCCCTTATCTTTAGGCAGTTAGAAATAAAACTTCAAAATGGACACCAGAAAAAAAAAAAAAGGAAAAAGATAGCATTAATCCCATATTTCCACGGCATTTCCCACAGCCTAAAGGCTTGCGCCATAAAGTTCGGAGTAGACGTAGTGTTCTCCTCGAATTTCAATATGAGCAGGTTGACGCCATTCCTGTCAAACCACAAATGCTGTCGGAAGGCGGAACGGGAACCTTTGGTTCCATGCAAAGAAGGTGTAGTATATGAAATTCCGTTAACATGCAGGTTCAAGTATGTGAAACAAACCTCGAGATGCCTCAACGATAGGCTATTAGTACACAAGAGAAATGTAAACACGAAAGCACAGAACTCTGAAAGTGCAAGGCACGTTGAGGAATGCAACAATTGTACTGCGCACTGCTCAGAAACGGAAGCTCTACATAAAGACTGAGATGATATTAAGAGGGTCGTTAAAGAAACGATAAGAATAAAATCAATGGGAAACAGCATAAACCAAGCATCAATGCAACTTGGAAGCTTTAAGAAGTTTCTGAGACTAAACGAACACCTCGATTCACAAGAAAAAAGAAGGGAAAGGAAAACTGAAAAAGGGGGATTAGGGGGACAATATGCAGTTAGGGTCCGTCGCCACGGTTTAGAGGTCACCAAGATGTCTTTCCCCAAAATAATGCTTCTCTCGTTTTTCTTTTTTTTTTTTCGAAGGGTATGTGTGGTTTTGGTGCTACTGTTTCGGATAGTTCGGCACTTTTCTTTCAAGGTCACTGTGATGCCCTGCAGTGTCCTCGTTTTGTGTGTGCTGTCGTCAACAATTTAATCAAGGTCACTGCCATGTCCCGAGGTGTCCTACAGATAAAGGCCTCTTGTCTGTGTGTGCGCTCGATCTCTGTGTGTCATGTATGTTCTCTCCATTTGAAACTGTTTTCAACAAAGGAAATTTCTGCATAGAGTGTGGTTGGGAAGGGCTTCGTGGGTATATATAGGATGGTCGAGAAATAAACTAGTTAGCCGAGTTTGAGACGTCCCTTTCTGTGTCTGTTCCTTCTACTAAAAAGTTTCCAATTTCTTCCACCACAGTCTCAGATGTTATATGACAGGACTATACCGGGCTTCTGTTTCATGCAGGTGTGCAGGTGCTGGAGTGAGCTTCTAAAGCATTCATTTGACACCATGAAACTGCTTGTAATCAGTTGGGAACAAAGTCTACAGTTTGAAGAGTAAACCCCTGCCTTCCACCAACATCAGTTTTTCGTTGTTACCAGCAGAGACTTCCACTTTGACAAACGCAATGAGGACCAATATTGTAAATTCAATTCCTTCGAGTCAGATTATTTTGGCCCAATATTTGAGTTACCATTTGAGCAGTTTGTTGATGCATTTAGCAAATCTGGGACTATGAAGAAAACACCAGAGTACCCCTTTAAGCTGAAACAAAGTATAGAAATGTCAAACGTTCGGGAAAGGGGGGGGGGGGGGGGGGGGGGGGGGGGGAACGCTTGCTTGGGAGAAGAGCGTGTTGGTTTAAGTCATGGACGAAGAAAGAATAAAACAATTAAAACAGGGACAAACCAACCACATCTTTCAAATTTTTTCGCGTTCTAATTAGGTGGTGGCAACTCTATATTCACCAAAAAAATGTGAAGTTCACAGAAAACGTGAGGGGCTGCTTACATATATAAGCATCTCAAAATTACACAGTCATGTTATTTTTAACCGAAAGACTTCCCTTACACACCACCTGCACATGAAACAATTTAGAAGTAGCAGAAATACTTGCTACTCTACAACCGAGCATTGGCAGCCAGAACTTGCCTCTTGAGCATCATCATAGTGTTCTCCTGCTGCTCATATAGGCCACCCAAGTGTTCGAACTTTGCCCGCCAAGCCTCGGCCTCCTCTCGCAGCTTGTCCTGTTCTTTCATGTAGTCTTGGTCCTTCTTGAGCAGGCGCTCTTGGAACATCAGTTCCTGATATTTGAGCGCCTGCGTCATCTCCTTCTCAGAGAACATTGGTTCCTGCAACAGGCAGCATGCAAAACTCGTAAACTAGGACATAGGCCAGCCATGCCAAGATCATGATAGAATGACCATTAGGTGCTTCATAGTGCCAGAGTTAAAAGGCTCAAACTGCACCAGGCCACAGATCGCCATCTTGAGGCCAACGGATCACCCAATATGATGCACATACTTTGGTAGTGTATTGTGCTAACTGTACAGAACATTCCAAGGTGTACTCCCTAAATGTGACAGGACACCCAATTTCATAATGCAAAGGGTGCCATATGTTTAACACCTTAGCTCCTGTGGGAGAAACTACTTTGATAATACAGTAAGCAATTTGGACAACTTTAGTTACTCTAGTAATCACCGAACATTGCATGGACAAGATTGCCCATTCCTGGGATGTAAATATCGGAAGTAAAAAAAAAATAATAGTAAAGCATGGCAATATGCAAGGCAGTTCCTTCCACTAATTTTGTGGGGCATGCATGAACAGCATACTCAGGTACTCCTCAGTGCACATGGTTAGCACAAACCAAGAGAAATAGGAATCTAACTATAAAGTGTTACCATAAAAAAAAAAAAAAATTTAATGCAACAGCAGGTTTTAGTAAATACAAGTGGTCAAGCATCTGGCAGTTTTATTGCTGAACCACGAATACCAGACAAACGAGTTGAGCAGCAAGTTCCGAGGAGATACCAGACTTGTGCAACGCATATCCAGAAAGTGAACACCATTCGCATGTAAGCCTCCATGAAAGAATTGACTTTGCACATATGCAGTTTTGTGCTCTCGTCCATTAGCCACACTCCTAAGCCATTTTGCGAGACCTATTATTTTTGCAGTTTGAGCATTGCATCAATCCTGTCCAAGTGATAGAACAGCCTGCCGACTCTGTAGTCCAGCCTCCGATACGATTTTCAAATGCGACAAACGCCAGACCATTGCAGACTATGAAAGATCCATTAATTGTAAAAGTAATAGACTACTAACTGCAACGAGCCAAGTCAGCAGCTCTCAAATGGGGTCCGCGGACCCACTGCGGTCTGAAAAGCCATCTTTGGGGTCTGCAAAGCTTTTGCTCCAACCCTCAACCCTGCACTTCCTGACGACGTTTCACTATGTAAACATTCAATGTCTAATCTGCTTTGTTTCTGGTCGGTCGCAATGATCTACCAGCCCAAGAATCCAAATTAGTACACAAAAGCTTATTCAAGAAAAATATTCAGGTTCTGCAATGCACAGACGCTTTAACGAGTAGGAAGATAAAGGTTTCACATCATTTGACTCGAAAGAAGGCAATAATTCGTAACAGACGTCTTGACCAAACATGTTAGTGAATAAGGGAATCATGCATATGGAAGCACATTTCTAGAACAGTTTCATGTTTCTGAACAGGTGCAAGCAGGAAAGAATTAACTGCACCTGTTTCATCTTCAGTATAGTGAGCTCTCAAATGCTACTAAAATTGGCTAAATTGCACAGTATGGTACAGTAAAATTGGTACAATATCTGTGAAACTATGCCGCAGACCTGGATCGCATTGCCATGGCTAAACTACACTGGGTTCCCACAGTTGCAGATAAAAAACGCTTTTCCAAACACCAATCTGTTTAGATAAACGCCTTGGCGCAGTTTGGTGCAACTTTTTTTCCTTTGGGTGCAACAAGGCACAGGCAAGTGGGAATTTATTAAATGGCACAAATGGCACAGCTGAACCAACCCTGAGAGGGAAACTGTGCAGCTGGTGTTGACTAGAGCCAATACCGACAAAATGGCACAAATGGCACAGCTGAACCAACCCTGGAAGGGAAACTGTGCAGCTGGTGTTGACTTGAGCCAATACCAACAAGCAGCGCACACAGTTTCACAGGCGAACTGCAAAGGAGCCCACAATATCTTACCGCAGCTTCAATCCCTTCTTTGCTACTGGACTTCCGCACCTGAAATAAAGAAGAAAAAAAAAAAAAAAAAAATTCTAAATCGAGTAGCATGTAAAAAACTGACCGACTAAGCTAACCTCAAAAGGGCCCGATTTGCAGAAAACAGTTGGCTATATAATAAAAAAAGTGCTTAATTATACATACAGTGTAGACCGCATATAACGTATGTCTCGGGAGTCGCGAAAATCCGCACTATAAGCGGTACCGCACTATAACCAAAACATCAATTTTTCAGGCCAAAATACATGCCATGAGACAACTTACCTTTGTAAAAGAATTTATTTTGTGTTACAGTAAAACCTCGTTATAACAAAACGGGATATAACAAACTAATGGATATAACAAAGCAATCACAATTCCCCTTGCTTGCTAATAGTGGGAACAAATGGACATTGGCTATAACAAACTAATGGTTATAACGAAATAATTACGACCGCTCCTTCAACTTTGTTATAACGAGGTTTTACTGTAGATGAAAAAATAAGCTTAGTTTGAGGAAAGTCTTTATTTCAATAGACTAGTACAGTTATGTGTCAAGTGTGTCATACATTTTAAAAGAAATTAGCGGCTTTTGCCTGGCGCAGCCTTTTAACGGCGTCGCGGGTTGCGGACGACGTTGCGAGCGTTCAGGATTGCTAACCCTAATCACTTTTCTCCGGAGATGAAAACGCGTGAAAATTTGCATCCTTTGTACGGTACGCGCCCGTAATACCTTGAACTTGAGCACACGCATGAAATGCGCCAAATAAGAAATCCGGGCGATGTTCGAGGACACAAATGCTTAGAAATCACCACTGGAGTCGAAGTAAACAAACACGACGACACGGGCGTTTCTGCCGTCTTGAGAGCGCCGCCACGACATCGCCGCACGAGTAGGTGGATCTTCCTTTCTAGTACGTGCTGGGTTATCATAGCGACACACAACGAAAATTCACAGTCAAGGATAGCGCTTTTACGCAGAACGATGAGATGCACGCCGTCTACGACGACAATCACAACCGACGCCATGTTTGCGGAATAGAAGCAGCCGGCCCGCGACCGGCATGCAACGCGCGCGAACACTTCTCCTCGACCTGCGATTGGTCTGTCGTTGCGGTTGTTTGTTTCTTTGTTTCCAACGCAGCGGAGGGACGCACGCACGTGAACGACTCGTGCGTGCGTCCCTCCGTCGCTACGGCAACTGAAGCCTCTCTCTTCGCTTCTCCCCGCGTTTTCGAGCAACCTCCTTGCCCCGCGAGTGCAGTTTGCGGCTCGCGCCGTCAGCGCCGTTATCTAGTGTCGCACAGGGAAGCGAGCTCGCTGCTCCGGTCGTCGGCGCGGTCGGCGGGCTGTGCCAAAAACCGCACTATAACCAGTATCTTCCTTCGCGCGCCTGCATTTTAAGCGGTATGTAATTACATGGAGTTCTATGGGAGGTGAACCGGTGGTTTAAAAAAACCGCGTTATACCCGGTCCTGCACTATAAGCGGTTACGTTGTAAGTGGTCTATACTGTATTGCACATGAGGACTGGGGTACAAATTGACCTATGGCCGATGCATGTAAAGGTTACAAGAGGCACTAAAAACAGGAGTACTCAAAACTAAGAACTTGATACCTTAAAATATAGAAATGAGTGCACATGTCCACACAATCACCCACCATAAATTTTTACAGAATCTGGGAAATGTGTAAGTGCATACCAAATGAGGAGTCCCCCAGAAAAGCACTCGTCGGCGAAAATATGCTCATGCTTACACAGACACAGACGAAAAACAAACTCGCTGCCCCTTTCTTTCATGTGCAAACAACAATTCTACATTATCCTCCATGCCTTCACTTATTTTTTTCTGGGCCCTCAAAGATATCCCCAATAAGAGAGGAAAAGAAAACAGGGTCTTGGTATGCACTGTGCAATGAGCAATACAGTAGAACCTCGATAATTCTATCTTCGTTTATTCGGAATCCTGGATAATTCGCAAAATTTCCACGGTCCCGTGACTTCTCACGAAAATATGACCGGATAATTTGAGCGCTCCGTGCGCGCCTACCCGGCCAATTCACCGATTTAGTCTTCCAGGTTCATTTTTAGTTGCTAGGTGGCACCAAGCTGGCATCCAGGTTCAGCAGCAAAAAACAAAGATGGCGCGAGTCTTTGCTGATCTGTTCCGTTTGCTGGTCCGTGCGCTTAGTAGTCCCTTTGTTTTTTTTGGGCTTGGGCACGCGTTGGCAGGTTTAGTCTCTTGCCTCACGTGGAGTTGATCGGTTTCAGTGATCGGTATTCTTGGCGCCGCGCCACTGTGGTTAAGGCCATTAATGAGCCGCGTGTAAGCGAATTAGCAAGCGACAAGACAAGCGATGGCAACAAGTCAGCGACGGAGATTTCTCACTGTAGACCGTCGTGTAGCTCATCGCCTTGGTCGCTTGCTCCAGTTGCTTTCATGTGGTTTGCCTCGTCCTGCGATAGACCGAGCGATAGCGAAGCGGGTCGCCGTCGTTTGTCTTGTCACTCGCCAAATCACTTATATGCAACCGGCCGTGGAGCAGGAGGATACCGCGAGTGCTAGTGCTAGTATTGTCCCTGGGATTTACGATGAGGGAGAGGAGCTTTGCACCCCCATGGACAGTGACGGTGAGTCGGTCGGCACGAGGGTCGCAGACTACTGAATGAGTAAACCTGCTACGCAGACCTTCAGAGCAAAATCGCTGAACGTGACGGCAGAGATTGATGACGATTATTAACCGCCTTGGGCCCCGCTCTACGGAAAGTTATATGGTCGCTGAATGTCGTCCGCAGCTTTGTTGAATGTAACGGCGGTAATTATGAGATGTTGCGCCTAGTTAGCCTTCTTGAAAATGTGACAATCGGCACTGCTACTTACAGAACGCAGCACTCCCCTATCGCCGACAACTTCGGGTGACGTTCTCTCGCTTTGAATAGAACGTTTCCTTCAAGATTCAAAGCTTTGCAGACAATGTTTTGTTGTTTGCTTTCGTTTTTGGATAATTCGCAAATCCCCTTAATTCGCATATTTTTCGCCGTCCGACAGACTTCGAATTAACGAGGTTTTACTGTATGTAAAGTAGCAGCGCCCCCTAGCGGTTCAGGTGCACTCTGGGAGTAGGGGACTATCAATGGGTAGTTTCGGTTTTGCCCGGTCATTCATCTGTCATCTGCTACTGTTTCCGCACCGCCATTGCTCCTGTCGTGGATTGCTACACCAAAGCGCGATGCAGTAAGTGCACTTTTCTTCTCGTTGCTACATAAACACAGAGAATAACGAAACAATTGCGATTTTGCTGGCACAGAGAGGGAATGAAAATGCCACAACAGCTAAGTCAAGTGAACACAGATTGATCCACACTGAACACCGTGCCAGCTCCCTGCGAGCATTTGTTTGCAACCTCTAGATCAGCCACTGAAGCTGGTACTTAAAAGGACACTTGACAGGGCATTTATGCTCTTCAAGGTTTTTATTTGTACATGGCATATGAGAGCCCAACTACCCAAAACACAATTTGCGACTAAATTTGTTTTCTTTCCGCCCCAAAACCGCAGATCGAGAACTGGCCAGTTTGATCCACGCTCACTCTTTTTTAAGTGGTCACGCGCCGTTTTGTATGGCTTAGATGCAACCGTCAAAGACAACCAAAGTTGTGGGTCATCAAAGGCAGTTTCGAGCAGTTGCATTTTGTTACTTCAGTAAAAATATGTCTCACTATTTTGCTACAATGCGACATATTTTTAATAAAGTCAAAAAACGCAACTGCTCGAAACCGAAAGTGCACTAGGGAGGAAGGAATATAAAGGAGGAGAAAGATACCAAAAATCACGTGGAATTTGCAACGTCGTGGACTTTGTGCGAAGAATTTAAAATAAATCTTGCAGCGTCAATATTGCTCAAAAAAAAAAAAAATTTTCGCATAAAATTAATTTTTTGACACACGTGTCCCAACCAAAACGTTTAAATTTTTTTTTTTTTTCTTTTCGGGTTTTTTTTTTTTTTTTTAAGTTTTATAACACCTTTGCTTCGCCGATCGACATTTTCAATTGGGCTAACGCAGTACATGACAAACCTCGCTGTACGGGAACGAGTTCAAGCACAAACATGCACGTCATGCTACGTTGCTGTGAGGAAATTTGTCACTGGAACAAGGGTGCGGCAGACCTGAAGTGCTAGTCTCAGTGGCTGTTCTCAAGGTTGCAAACAAATGCACACAGTGAACTGGCACGGCGTTCGGCGTATGCTGATCTGCGTTCACTTGACTTCGCTGTTGTGGCATTTTCGCTCGCTCCCTGTGGCAGTAAAATCTTAATTGTTTCATTATTCGCTTGGTCTGGTATGTAGTGACAAGAACAGGGTACTTACTGAGTCGTGTGAAGGTGTAGAGCAATCCACGATGACTAATCAATGGCGGTGCGGAGATAATAGCAGACTACAGATGCACAACCCGGCGAACCGAAACAAAACTACCTGCTGACAGCCTCCTGCTCCCAGAGTGTACCTGAACCATAAAGGGTGCTACTATTTTGCATATTGGCCATTGCTAAGCACCCTGTCTACAGCTACACAGTACTTTTTGATGTTCTTGTAGGGCTTTCTTTTCCCATTAAAAAAAAAATAAAGTGAGGGTTTGTTTCTTGGTTTGCCTCGAATATTTATAGGTAGCCTAGGAATCCCCATTTTCAGAGATTATTTGTGGGCAATATCGGAGGAAGTCTTTCACAGTTTTTTTTACCACAAATTCAAAGAGTTCTTAAATAAATCGGAATTTGTAATATTTTGAGCAGAGAGTTACATTTTATGGGATCTATCTGAAAACGAAGACTCCTATTTGTATGACCCAATGTTGCTTCTTGCACCATTATTCTCATGCCATTGTTTCACTGGATTTCTGAAATTTTGGCGAGTTTCTTCAGTATTTCGCTATAAATATAATCTGAATCTTTCACTTCAATGCACCCAGAATAGTGAAATTATCACATGAACAGTGAGTTTCAAAAGCCAGGTAAGCTAAGAAACGCCAGTGTGAGACTCTATCCTAACACCAAAAGAAACTCCACAACCCATCACAAACATTCAAGCTCAAAAATTTCTCGTCGCTCAAGAAACCCTACCTTCAGCGGCGAATCCACGAAATCGATCAGCGTCCCACCACTGCAGTTCAAGGCACTGCAAGTTGAAAGCAGCAGCAAAGAAATGGGTACAATGCATTAGTAGAAAGAACCTCCAAGTTGCATCAAGTTAAACACAATGGGGAAAACGAAAAAAAAAAAAAAAAACACATTGAAAGAGGACAGGATGAGATTTCACATATAAACAGTGACGCTACTGTGCCTAGATCGATCTTCGACTGGCATGTTGAGCGTCCTATTTGAGACTCCAGCAAAACGAACGGCACCTAGTGAGAAAATGTCTAGCTGAACGGAACAAATCCTTATGTGATTTCTGCTCGTGATTACATGTTGGCGGTTGGCACGATGCAACAGTTCTGCCGACGACTCTTGTCACTGGCGTATCGGCGCGTTGCCCAGGTCACTCCGAATGCAACCTACGCTACCGCATCAACCAGACGTAGCGTGTCTATCGACGCGCATCAGCAACACAGTCCTTACATCGCTTCCCCGAACCAGGATGAGCCTCTTGAAGCTCGCGTACGCCAACACATTGCCGCAGGTTTGAAATGTAGCGAATAAAAATCTGGCAAATCATTTTGAGTCTAATGCTTGCTTGCTTGCTGAAACCCGAACGTTCTGTACTGGGCTGGCGCGTGGCACGACACGACCCGTTTTAGACAGTCATATTTGCCTGAGAGTGGTGACCCCTATAAGTCACTACTGTTGCGAATAACGCCTATGCATCGCAAGTGATCCCGAAGTGGCAACAAACGACGCCACACGACCTGGCGTTTCATGCCGCCAGATGTCAATCCTGGTGGTCACTCGCCTTTTGCTATATTAGCGTGGCAAAGGCAGTGATAACACAGAATGTAATGTGGTAGTCTAGAGAAACTGGGTCTAAATGTGGAGGCTAGATGACGCAAATGGTATCATTGTCATTTTTGCCAAAATCACTAGACACAACTTCGCTGGGGGTCTGCAACCGGCGTCGTACCCGCTATACAATCGCCGACAGATTTTTTTGACGCCGATCGTTCGGACTTGTTCGATATTTCCGACCTAAAGGAGAAACAGTGATTTACCCCATAGAAATGGTGCATATTCACGACCAACGTTTCAGACAGCTTGAAGTCTGAATGATTTTTCAGACAAAATCGTCACGAGCGATCAGCGGGAAACACCACCGAGAAGCGGCCATTTTGAATTCTACGTTGGCTGCAAATGGATTGGCTAGGTTTGGCAGAGCTACTTGAGTACTCCCGAGTCCTAACACTAGGTGACACTATGCTACACTTTTTTTTTCCACATTTAGCTGTGTGTCATCATCCTTTTGCCATTTTGCTTTCTTTCCTTCCATCCCTTTGCACCTCCGCCACTTTCGCGTCGCCAGTCGCCATTTTGCACTAGTGGATTTGAGCCTCTCATCTCGTTCGGGCAACGCTAGCTTGGACGTCATGGCCCCATCGGTTCTTCTGCCGCCGCCCCCAAGTGTTGCCAAGCGCAGAAAGTACTCTACCATGACGCTCAAAAAGAAGGCAGCAATACTGAAGCTAATAGAAAGTGGCCGAACTCAAGCGGACGTAGCAAAGGAGAGTTCCAGCTGTCCACAGTAGCAAAGGAGTTCCAGCTGTCCGCACAACCCTTGTCGGACACTGTCAAGAACAAGGGAAAGATTTTGTCCGCGCTAAAGAAATCCCACTGCAAGAGCCAAAAAAATGACAAGAAGACCACCCAGCACTACAGGAGGCTCTTCAACTCTGGCTGAAAAGAGTGCTGGTGAAGAATTTTTCAGTGTCAGGAGACGCCCTCAAGCAAAAGGCAAAATGCTTGCTGTGAAGATGGCCATAGAAAACTTCCCAAGTTTACGGACTGATGGCTTCGTGGCTTCAAGGAGAGACACGGGATCTCGTTCAAGAAGGTGTGCGGGGAGAGCAGAGCCGTTAAACGAACGACAGTCCTGGACTACCGCATGAACAAGCTAAAGTCATTGCTGCAAGAATATGCCCCAGAAAACGTCTTCCACTGCGACGAGACTGGCTTATTTTTTAAGATGCTGCCCGATCGCACACCGTGCTTTAACGTAGAATCCTGTTCAGGAGGGAAGTACAGCAAGGAGAGAATAACAGTCATGGGCGGCGCGAACGCGCTGGGAAGTTGATGCTCCTTGTGATCGGGAAAACAAAAAACCCGAGGTGTTTTAAGGGGATGAAAAAGCTCAGTTGGCGACAAGAAGGTGCAACTCATCAACGGCAAGACTAAGGATTCAATAAGTTTTCATGATCTGGAGCAGCTCTCAGTCTGGTATTCAAGCAACACCAAGACCTGGATAATGCAGTGCTTGTTTGAGGACTATCTACGTCGCATGGACAGAGTTCTTGAGCACCAAAAACGACATGTGGTAATATTCGTTGACAACTGCGGAGCACACGGTAAAGTGGAAAGCTTAAAGCCATATGGTTTGAATTCTTGCCGACCCATACGACGAGTGTTCTGCAACCGATGGACCAGGGCATGATCAAAAACATCAAGGTCCTTCACCGGGCTTGTCTACTCGGCCACAACAAGAGGTACTCGCCGGGCTTCCTTTCGGCCATCAATATGTTCACGGACGCGAGGAAAGCATTTAAGCCCACAACAATTGTCCATTGCTTCAAGCACATAGGCTTCTGTGCGAGCGAAGAGCCCGTGAATGATGACGGAAGGCTGGACCACCAAGAGGCCGAGGACATCTCCACAGCACTGGATGTTGGCGAGAGTGTTTGCCGACCTGCGGAACAGCGGGATGGGCATTCCTGGTGCCACGACGTTCTGCAAGTGCACCGATGTTGACACCACCTTTGTTCAGTGTGCGGAGCTAACGGACGACAAGATTGTGCAGCAAGTCCTCGCATCAGGAGAAAATGAGTCGGACTAAGAGTCAAACGCCGACTCCGACACGACTACCCCCACAGCCATAGACAGCAGACATTACAAACGCATTGACATTGCTGTTCAATGTGCACGACGAGAACACGACGCTCGCACAAATGCAAGCAGATGTCATTGCGAACAGGTGTAACATGAAGCAAGGCACTATTGACGGCTTTTGTTAAGCCTGCTTAGACGTAATAAAGGCAAGTTTCATCATCTGTTCATTTTTCAGACTGCTTTATTATTCGGACGTTTTTCTGTCCCTGCCGCGTCCCAAAAATCAATCGGCGACTATTTCCATCTGCGCAGCGCGGCACCTGTCTAGCTGAGGTGGGTGCTTGATTGTTGCCTGTCTGTTGGCCGTTCAGGGTGGAGTGTGAAGGGCAGGGGAGTATCGTGTGCATGGCCACACGCAGCACATGAAACAGAATCTTCCACCGCCATAAGATTCCGGCGTTTTCTGTAGAGCCTCACCCACTCGTTTGAGAACCTGGTAGCACCCTTCGAAGGCTACAAGCCAATGGCTGATTTCGCAACCTCCCGTTGTACACAGTACGCATACGGGCACTCCGTGGATGTCTTATTTGTGTGTGGCATCGTTTGCGGTGGGCCTGTAGACGCAAAGTTCTCGCAGCCAGTTGGACAGAGACGCAATAAACCAAACATGAAAAAATAAATTAAAAAAAAAACAATGGGAACGCGGCTGCACCACAGTGTGCCTAGGTTGCAGAGTCCTTCCAACTGCTCAATCGGGATTGTGAGGCCTATGGGCTGCATTTGCAATAAGAGCTGCGAGTAGGTGGCGACAAGGTTGATTGTCTGAAAGTCTCTACCTGCTTTTCTCTTTGACCCATGACAACAGAACGCATGTGCAGTTGCAATCAATTGGCCCAGGAGCTTCAGGAGGCATCAGTCATTAAATTGCAAACTCTCTCTATAGTTTCAGTTGCTCCCTCTCTTAAATCTAGGCACTCTACAGCACGGAGTGGAGCAGCGTGCAAGCTGAGCACGCCCTACACTGAACACCTACACCCCCCCGCTTTTTTGTCGCTCTTTCACGCTCGTTCTCCGGAAAAGCACGGTGCAAAGCGCCGCAGTTATACTATGTCGTAACAAATGTTTTCCCCTAGCCAGGAATAACATGGAGGCAGTCAAGGAAGAGGTTCAGTTGGCACTATACTCGGCGACAACTTTTCTTGGCAATGCAGTGGAAAATACAGGCATGCGTTCCCTCTCCCATTTCAAGCGCTGAACACAGCTATGCGCGGACTCCCCTCTCCACTGCATCGCCAAGAAAGGTTGTCGCCGAGTATAGTGTCTTATCGGTGAGAAGACTAGAGCTGCATTGGCGTTCGGCTGTCAGTCAGCTCATCGACTTCCATCTCTGGCTGGATATCGGATACGGCTAGGCGTCTAGCCACGTTAACACATTCCGCGTTGAAAGTATGAGAGAACTAAAGTGTCGCTGACCCTAAGGCGACCCGACTCGCGGCTGCCGACATTTCTGAAAACAGTAGAGTCGAGACCAAGCTACGGCAGAACAGGCGTCTGCCGCATCCACGTTCGCTGCTGTGCCACCACCAAGATTACAGCAAGCAACAGCACGACACTTTTGAGGACACCACGTTTGAGGACGCAGTAAACACACCAGTCTGAGACATGTTTCAGGCGCCTTCATGATGCTACAAAGTGAGCCGTGAGCCACCATAATGGAAACTAGCAAGTGTCAGTAATTAAAAATTTCCTCTGAGCTGCACTGCCTCCTTTGGCAACAAAACTGCAGTTTAATAATATGAAAAGGCACAGAGTCTTCTCATGAACCACCACAAGTAGGAAGTAACAGACCATGAAAGCCAAGAAAACGGACACTAAGATCGCAGAAAGAGTTGAACAAATCTAGTGTCTTGGTGTATGGAAAGGCACGACACAGATATGACAATCTTTTTTATGGAACCAACATAGGCTGGGAATAACGTAGTAGTAGTACTATAGTAGTTTCGAGTACTGGACAGAAGAGGCATGTATTCACTTAGATTATGTTTATTTGCTGTTCAAAACAGTTAAAGCTGAGCATCTAGGTCTTACAGATGGTTAACGCAATCAGAACCACCACCACCTAGCAGCCCCACTCCCTTAAAGTGGTACTTTGACGTTTTCTTCACAATCCCCAATTTGACTGAAAATTGGCTAAACACACATAGCTGAATTAGTAACCCAAATATTTGGCTAAAATAATTTTTGTTTCCAAAGTTGGTCAATTTAAAATTTTCGTCCTCACCCTGTTTTTCAAACTCAGTCTCTACTGGCAACAATCAAAAAGTGATGCCAGCAGAAGACACGGGTCCACTCTTTGAACTGTAGAATTTGTCCCTAACTGATTGCAAGCAGTTTCATAGCGTCAAATGAATGTTTTGGAAGCTCGTTCCAGCATCTGCACAACAGCACAAAGCAAATGTTCAGCATAGTCCATTTTTTAGACTGCCTGCTCGACCTGCAAGCCTGCCTGCCACTGACGTCACAGCACAGAAAAGCGCAGGTATATTTGAATGTTGGTTTTGGCACCGTTTACAATTGCTGATTTCACAAGTACTAGGGTATTTCGAATTTTACAATATTAAACACCATAACGAAAGGGGAAAAAGCCGGGGATTCATGAACAAGTTGGTGTAGCTCAAAAATTCGCTGTCCAGTAAGCACTATACAAATAACCTTTCAAAAATTCACTTGCCCAGTAAGCACTATACAAATAACCTTTTTTGGCAGTTTTAACTACCTTTGCCAAGAATCTTTTAAAACTATCCATAGAGTGAAACCTCTAAAACAGGACACTTTCACCACCACTAGACATGCTAGATGAGCACCAACACAGCACATCTCCAACTTAAAACCTCCCGAAGTTGTTTGGTGAATATCACAATCGCAAGAAGTGAAGAGTCTTCACTGCATTTGAAAATTCACAGCTCTTTCTGTCCAAAATGAGGGAAGGAAGTTAAAGAGGCAGATTTCAGAAAGCAGCAAAACAAAAACCTACGCTGATTGTTGCTCCTCAGGCTGTTGCTCCTCTTTAGAGTGTGCTGCAAGCAAGTTAAATGGTAACAAAGCAGTGAGTAGAAATGCAGAAAGTCGCAAGAAAGCATATGTTATGCCTATCAGATATTGCACTTGCTCTTGTCGGTTACAATACAGACATACCCTGCTCGTTCGACAAACCATTAACCTTAATATTTTAGTTGGGACTCATTGGTTCAACACTCGCTTGAAAACTTTTCTGGCCCATGCCAGCCTCACTTTAAAGTAGACAATTTTACAGTGATAGTTGTTAGTGCCCCTACCCGGAAAAAATGTGCATGTACAAACACAAAACCCCACTCTACAGCAAAGGCACTGCTCTCCCTCTACCCGTCGTTTCTCACACAAAGACGCCAACTGCAGCAAGGCTCTACCACCCCCCCCCCCCCCAACCCCCTTCAGGTCATCACTGTTCCGAAAAACCCCACATGATCAGATTATTAATATTGAGCTCAAATATAATCTCATGTGGAGAGATAAAATAAATTGTCCTTTCTGTAATGCCAGTCATCTCTGCAATAAATGTAAAATGTACAGCTGCACATTTGTGAGTCTGAATTTCAAATGGAAGCTGTAGATTTCGTCGAGACGTGATGTTCTGAATTCATGGTGGCCAATCGAAACCGTAACTCAGTGGCCAAATGGTTACTGGAATGTGTTGCACTGCACATTTCTTCAAGAAGCACTTCAGTTATAGAAAAAGGTATTTTGCTAAAACTCACAACAAGAACATCTGAAACTTAGGGTGAAGAACAATGCTTGACGATCTAGAACAAAATGTTTTAAAGTAAGCAGCTTTATAGTTAGAACAGTCATGCGCAAATAGTGGATTCTAAGTTCAAAGTAAAGTCGAAGCAGATAGTGGTTCTGGACGAGTATTTTCTAACTGAACATCGAATAGTTTCTCCACGCCTTTCACATATGCTTCACCATGCTTAAATAAAACCCCAGCTAAACACACGAAGGTTGTTCGCAAGCTTCCACTTGTCCATTTATAAGCTAATTTTAATCCAACTATATTTACTAACTGTGACCTCAGAAAGTGCAATGTCTTGGAACGGCAAGTCAAGAAACGATGGATTTGACATAAAATTAACCCTATAGGCACACAGGCATCCCCAGAACTTTATCAAAGACTTTTCTTCTTAGATGGGAGCAACCCCCTACAGGCACTAGAACGCTTTAGTAGGATGTGGGAGTCCTTTGTTCGTATCATTCTACTTTCATAGACGGAAATAAGAGTGACGTCAGACTGAACTTTGGCACTCTTGGTTTTATGAACAAGATGACTTCAAACTGACGCCGTGCTCACTAGACATACCATCAAGGTTGTCGTACACATTTCAATATCCTCGTCATGCAGTCACATTTCTCTCTCCATCGTACAAAAGACACGGTCTGCAAACGCGATGACAGAATTGCCTGCAGACATGCCTCGGCCACGTTTCGAAGCACGTTTGCCTCACACGTGCTTCGAAATGTCCGCAGACAGTTTTTGTACAACCAATGTGGCCAGACAGTTGTACAGGAAGGAAACACTGACAGAGTCTGCAGACTGTCTTTTGCAAGATGTGTTGGCAATGTAACAGCAGCATACGCCACCGAAACAGCTTGTTGTAAATACCTTCCTTTCCCTTCCCCCCCCCCCCCCCCCTTCTTTACATTGCACCCGCTTCCGGATGCCCATGTATAGAGATGCCCAGCTATACCCGATTGAGTAGATTTACAAATCTTGCATGACAAAAGATGTATGCAGGTTGTCGGGGCATCGCCTAACAGACTCTTACATAACAGCCATAGTTGTACTGCAACGACATACACAAAGCTTCCGTTCCTTTTTTGTATACACCAGGTGCACGCACACCTCATCCCGTTCAGACAGTGTTTTTCTCCCAAACATAGAATTGCTATATATTCATACTTTTGCGCATCTTGATTGCAGCAGGTAACCCCAATGGGTGCGCTCCTTACCAAGCACCGGTGCACTGCAGAGAAGCAACACCGGCGGAGCTCCTTTCTGCAAGTGTCTGTTCTCCGCAGCGCACCCATGCTCTGCAAGAAGCGCGCTCAACGGGGCCAACCCGCCACGATCAACACTTCGAGATATATGACTATCGCAGCTGACCTCGAAGCGAAAATCTGATAGTGTATTATTTGAAACTATGATGCGAAATTTTAAATATACGGAAAAACACTAATGGTGAATTCCACTGGTTATTTTGGAGCACGCCGGGATCAGTAGACCAGATCCAATGGAGCACGCAACCTGAACAGAGTCACTCTGCCTCCGGATCCCCAGTGGAACATGAACACTCCTCCGGGATCCGCGGATGCTTTCCCGTCATTCACCTTCCCAGGAATCTCTTTATTGTGGACCCAGATCTCGAAGCACATGTTTTCGCAATCTCGGCGCTAATAACACGTGCTTAACGCACGAGCGAAGTGAATCATGATGTGAAAGATGAGTGTCAATAAGCTATGTGCATCAGCGTAGACCACTTGCCTCTTCATCGGAAGACTCGTGAACAGCGTCCAAGTTTAAGTCTATTTACGGCCTCTCCTGCGAAGGTCCGAAAAAGCCTTCGAATTCATGCGAGACATACAAGCAATCCTCATCGTCAGTGCTACTCAAGCCGCTGCTGCTGGAGGAGCTGCTCGAGCAACTTGACAATGAACTGCCATCAAGCGACAGCAGCAGTAAAGCAGGCGGCACTTTGCGAGCGGCCATTACGAATTCTTCCGAGACTAGAGCAGCGAGACACCAAGCAAGAAAGGAACTCTCAAGAAAAAAAAGGGCTGGCCAGGCTGGCTTCCAGTTAAGTCTGCCAAAATCGGCAGAGCGACTTTTTTCGGGTGCACAACGAGATCTGGAGTGGCAGCTGATCGAAAACAAAAGTGGCACACGATCCCGATCGTCTAGTGAAATAGGCATCCTCAAGAGAAGGGGACCCCGCCGCGCTCCAAAACGACCAATGGAATTTGCTATAAGTTCGATGCATTTAGACCAACCCTGATCCTGATCCAACAATCCCCCTCCATCTGAGGCGTAGCCAGGGTTTTACACTTCTGTGCCTACAAACTGCACTATCCAGCGCACCTCAAAGCAAAAGACGGCCACTTACCAGGACTATGGCAGGCTGGACGCAGCTCCGACAGCAGTGGATCAAACTTGAGGAAGAGGGAGCAGCGTCCCAGACGAGTCCTCTGCAGGCGCTCACTGTTCCCCACCTTCTGCAGGAAATCTAGGTCCGACGGGTCCTTTAAGCTGGCCGCAACGGAAAGGAACTCCTCCTTGGAGAACTGGGCCACTTCAGGACCAGCCTCCGAGTCCTGGGGCTGCGGCTCGCTTGCGGCTGTACAAACGTCAGTCCCTTCCACCGCTTCGGGCAGGACGTACACCTCTGGCGGCTTCTGCACACAAAGAGCACCAGAGCATTTGTGGAAGAGAAGCATGCCAGTCGGAGAGAATTCTTTCTCATGCATAGAGTGAAATGGTGATGTGGTGCTGCGTCCAGATCTCGTCTTCCTCATGATATGCAAAGACGAGCTGGACCCTCATTTTGAGGTGTGGGGCATTAAGCATTTTCTCCGTCAACACTGCTCCAGAAAGGAAATCACGTCCATGTTCGACAAAATGAGCGCCCGACACGCAGAAAAAAATATGAAGGACCTGTTCTATTGAAGGCAGCATATCAGGGCCCTTTGTTTTGGGGTTTTATATTTTTTTAAATCTAAAAGGTAAAAATTGGGAGCCACTTTCCAAGCTCTTAATTGGGAAGAAATTTGATTTTTCTAGAAACTAGGGGATCCCAGAATTTGGGTTACATATAAAAATCAATAACTATAATTCACAATAAAAAGAACTGATCTGTTTTAAAACATGGAAAGCTTTATTTCCACAAACAAGTAATTAAAGTGCAGATAATTGTATTAAACACAGTATAGAGCTCACTTGGTCATTTCAATTTTAAGCAAATTTTTGTTGACATACATAACCATGGGCAGCATTTCTGACCTGATAGTAGACCTGTCATCTTCAGACCTATCTTAACAAAAAGAATATTTTCTCAACATCAAAGCATCAGTTTGCAATGCACAGCAACGCAGCGTGGCATTCTGTTGTCCGGGATAGCGCTCTCTTGTTAAAGTTGCCTTTGGAAAAATAATGTTTTTCAGAAAGTGCTACTCTAACATTTTTTGCATTGCTTTTGTCATGCACGCTTTCAACAAGCTTCGTTAATCACTACAATGCCAAAAAACGCGAAAATGGTGTAATGCTCGTTGCGAGTTCAGGGAAACATCAGGTGTAACCCAATTTTCAAAAAACATGTTTTGGCTGCTAATATAGGGAAATATTGGGTTTTACCCAAAAAGAAAGGGCCCTTTATCCCATTCGAATTAAGAGAATAAGCTCTCAGGGATGAGGATCATAACAAAAGTCTGCTTAAAGGGAAGCTACGGAGCTTCTTGAAAAAAATGAGTTAGAAGTGAATTCTAGTGCACTTTTACCCCGTGAACCCGAATACCCAAACCATTTGCTGCGCAAGTATTGTTGAACACCAAAGACTCGCTGTACGTGACATCATCGACGGATCTTTTGGCTGCCCAAGGCTAGGAAGGCGGGGCTTCAGCCCTATTTTGAAATTGCTCTTATGGCTCTCTGGCACGTCGCATTAAAACATAACTGTGATATCTGTTATTCTAACGGCCAAGTGAACACAATTAAAGTGTTTTTTCTCAAATGCAGAACCGCCCCATCTTCCCTTTAACACCTGCAAGGTAATATATTCAATTTCAACATCCACAAATTTCCAAAGACTGGTGGACTGAATAGTCTGTGGGGAGAAAAGGAGAGAAGAGTGCGAGGACTAAAAGAAGCTGGGAACTGGTTTTCTTCTCAGCAGAAGACGCATCTGAAGGCCGGCATTTAAAGAAACCTGCATCTCAATATCATGTTATGATCCCTTCTAAGTAGTCTGCCTCCAACCTCTCTGTATTACGTTCAAAGAGAGATTTAATTTTAACCATTTGAGTGCCACGCCAGAGTATACTCGGGCGCACCCCCATGCAGGTTTCAGTTTTGATGTACTTCCTACGTCCCTCAACTGGGCTGTCCATTTTATTTTTACGTGTAGAGCAATGTTATGTCTCGCATTAACAACCGTAAGTGCATGTGCAAAGTCTTGTTTAGGGGGCTTCTGCCTCTGTTGTCTCCTTTGTTGTTCCAGAATGGCAAAATGTATGTTGTTCAACCTATGCCTAAGGCAAACACTGAGAACTAAAAATGAATAACAAATAATTAGTTAATACTGTAATGTTCGCGAGCCCCTAATTTTCTCGAACTTTGCGAATTGTAAAATTTGCGAACTTTAAAGGGTGCAAATATTTCTACTGTTTGTAGAGGAGAATTCTGGCCTTTAGAAATCGCGTAATTTAATGGTCGCAAATATGACCTTGCTGCCCAATTCGCGAAAAATCAGGGCCGTGATAATAAAGGGTTGTACAGTATTGTTAACAAAACAAATCCCAATTCCAAATTAAAAAAAAGGTCGGTTAAGGCCACTAAAAAAAAAGTGACCCTAGGGTGCAAGGCCAGGGTATCACTTCACCAACCTGTCTAAAAAAGTATAATTTGAGAAAAATACAGGTTGCAGGCATGCAAACATCGATTAACTATGAGGCCATAGATGAGTGTCTTTTCAATAAATAAATATACTTCATAAACCATGCTACACTTTCTGCGTAGAACCAAAATTTGTGTTCGATATGCAAGAAAAAAAACCAGGCACTCCACAACAATTATCAGCCCGTTCCCAAACGTTCTGAGGAACTAGCCATTAGCACACAGCACAGGCATGCTGCATATTTCGGGAGTTTGAACAATTCTCTCGTGCTACGTCACTAATTTGTACCTATATTTCAGATCCACTTGGGGACCTTAGAGAAAATAAGAATCAATGCTTTACTGCGACACAATTCAATGAACTGATAACGACGCCGCCGTGTACAGAGTCAACAAGTTCCAAGCCACTATTGTTCACTACATTGTTAAGCACTTGCACTGCCTATAAAAACAATATTGAATTGCCTCATACCTTTTTTTTTGGGGGAGGGAGGGGGTTTCTTGGCAAGTTTTCTTGGGTATCAAGCGTGACCACTGAACTCCCTACATTTGACTTGCCACGGCCTGGAGCCCTGCTCTACCGAATGCCAAAACAGGTCCCATTACGGGAACATAAAAATGAAAAAGGTGCAAATCTAATCGTGTAAAAGTGCTACCCTTTTCGTGTTTGCAATGAGAAAGTGACAAAGTGTGTATGTATGTATGCCTGCCTGCTTGCCCCCCCCCCCCCCCCCCCCCCCTCCCCTCCCCTTCCCGCCTTGTCCAATAGCACAATCGTAGCTAGTTGAAGTAAAATATATTTTCTGTCAAACTCGAGACTCGTATGATGAGATCCGAGTAGTATGCACTACAAGTGACACCACCACGAAACACTTTTGTCGACAGGGCATCTCCAACACTGCTCATATGAACCTTCGCTGAACACCTGCAGCGACTGAAGTTCATTTGTGTGGACTTTCCCTTTAGGCTTGCACACTCAACAGTCCCTTAATGAAATGAGATCACGGGGATGTGGATTGCATCATTAAAAGCAAACCTTGTTTACAGTTGCTGCAGTGCCTCCTTGGACGTCTAGTGTCCCGGACACTGCCTGTAGCGTGCCATGTGTAGCATCGGCGTCTTCAGCAGGAGCCCCGGGTGCCACGAAGCAGTTATTGCGCCCTTGGTCGGCGGCAAGTAGACTCGGCCGTGGCCGCTTGGAGCTCAACTGCACAAAATAAACATACAGGATAAAGCAATATAAAGTAGCGAATGGAATAAGATAGGCAACACGAAAGCCTCTTTTCCTTCGCAGTCACCGACAGGATGAAAAAGGCAAGGCACCTCTTTCGAAGGCCGGGTCTCCAGCACACACTTGTTGCCTTCCACCGTGCTTCGACTGCATGTGCATGCTCCGGGCTCGCAAGACGCCGAAGCATTATAGAAGGTAGGATGCTCGTGACGAAAGTGGGACAACTAAAACCCCTCCCAGCTGTCCTTAATCTGTCAGTGACTACAGTATCATAACAAACTTCGAATGAGCCCTACGTTACAGCTAAAAAGATGCAGATGCAACAAGCAATAGAAGCAAACCTGAATGAGAGGCGACGGACTGTTGCTTGTGGGGTCTAGGGGTACATCTGCAGCAACTGATGAGCTTCGCTCGACAATTGCAACTTCCGCAGAAGCCTGCTCGGGGATGAGGTGGTTGTCGTTGCAGTCCTGCGGTGCAGTGCGGGGTGGACTTTCCAGGAGACTTTGGTCAATCAGCAGCAAATTGACATTTTCGTCGTACAGGCGAGACCCATTGAGGGAAGGCAGAGGGGAAGTCTGAAGCTGCAGCGGGCTTTGTGAAGACTGGTTGACAAACGTGTTGTCAAGACTCATTACCCGCGGAGACTCGCTGAAGGAGGCGGGTTCTTCATCACCACCGGAGTTGAGACCTTCCGCCGGTAGGTGCACCGGCTCCGGTGGAGGCTCACTGGGAGCCCCGGATGAAGGGAGACGCTTCCCCGAATGTGGGGACTGCTTCACTTCAGCTGACTGCATGGAAAGACAGGGAAAGCAAGCTTCACCAAAGTTAACAATTCAAAAGGTCTAACTGCAGCCAGTAAGAAAGGAAGTGCATAAGAGGAAAACCAACTTCGAAACTTGCACTTGCAACTTAAAAAAAAATGATGGCCAGCAACAGGCAAAACAAAATACTTCCACCTTGAAATAAGGGACACTGCACAGGCAAGCTAATGAACAATCATAGTAAAAAAAGAACCTTCAGACTAGGGACAAATATTGGGACAGCACAACACCATCTCAAAACTCTGCCCAGTTTTGGAGCAGAGTTATGAGACTTGTGTGGTCCTAATTTTTGTCCTTATTCTCAAGCAGTTTTTTTTTTTTTTTGTGAGAGAGTGTGTGTGTGTTTTTTTACTACTTTCAATTTGTCTTATTTCAGATCAGAATGGTGCAGCAAATACACCTAATGAAATTCTGCATAAGCAACCCAGAGAAGACAAAACTGAACTGTTATCGGGCTGCATACACAATTCCATACTGAACAGTAATGTGGGAGCTGCAACACAAGTGTGTAGATGGTGGCAAAACGGTACATGCTTTAACACTTAGTAGGCCCCTTTGACAGGAGTTTGAGGCACTCAACTACTGTCCCTCTTGTCCACCAGAGGCTAGTCTCCGAGCAACAAAATATGCAGTTGTGCTGAAAGACGTGGAAGGCTCGCATTTTAAAACTTGAAACTTTAGGTGATAGCATCTACAGCTTTGGCACCAGTCAGGTTAGATTTATACTTGATGGCATACTTGGAAAGCAGCCTGGAAAAACATACTTTGCATAGAATAGGATATCAGGCTAAGTAGGTCTGACATGCATTGAACCATCAAGAGACTGTCACAGTTTCAGAAAACAAATGTATAAGAACTTTACACAATGACACCAGTTTGGCAGTATGCCAATGAATGAAGTATTACAAGCATGAGGGTAACTTCAAATAAAATAGCACGAGGCTAACATTAAAAAATTCAACCCAAATGCATGTAAAATATATGCATTAGAAGGACATTGCTTTTCCTCCTCTTTTACATTTAACTACAGTCGACTCTCATTAATTCAAACTCTCTTAATTCAAACTTGTGGATAATTCAAACTAACATGTGGGTTCCATCCTATGCGTCTCTATGGGAGGAAACTCCCGGTAATTCAAACTTTGCTTTATTCAAACAAATTTTCGGTCCCCTTCAAGTTTGAATTAACGAGATTCGACTGTATAAATGCAGATATTGACAGTTTTCTCTGCACCTCAATTTTTTCTACTGGCCAACCTCAACTCTGTCATCACAAAATTATGAATGCAATGATTAAAACAAGTAAAGCCCGACTACACTGCATTTCATAGCTGACAGTTAGCAAAACCATGGCTTGAAAGTTAGAATCTGTTTTTCTTCCAATACAAGTCCAAAGCTTGACACACCAATTGCAATTTAGAGCATTTCACGGAATAAGTGCATCTCCCCAAAGGCAGTCTCAGCAATAAGTGTCCCCCCCCCCCCCCCGCCACACACACACACAGACAAATTTGTGGGCGGTCAAACACCGCTTTCTAACACAAGATGGATTATTGATAGGCTACTCCCAGGATTTCACGTCTTATTTCGAGCTCGTATGGACAAACAGATGTAGAGACCAAGCTTACACTTCCTTTTGACACATACAGCTGCTTTATATCTTTGCTGGCTTATATAGTTCACACAATTAATCAAATGTGACAGTGAGCAATCTTGGGAAAGGCAAAGAAAGAAAAGGCCGACGAGGCTTGCAACAAATCACTCACCGGAAATTCAAGAGGCAGGGCAGCAGTGAGCAATAAGAAAGACAGGCACGATCAGAACACGGAATAGAAGGGAGAAGCACATATGAAGGCAACAAAACACAAGATGCACGGTTTTGGCGACTGAACACGCACCATAGGCGCAACAATGTTAAAAACCTAGAAAAGTCGCAGCCGCGTAATCACGGGAGGGTATACGGGATAACTCCTCGCAGTGTTCTGATCACTGCCTTAACGAGCACTCGAGAATCGCGGACGACGTCGCAGCCCTAAACAAAACGCAACCAGCATTTCGAAGCACGCCGCGGATCGTTGCAGCTGGTTGGGGGCCAGCGGTTCGCACCGGCAAAGGGGAATGAACGAGTCGGCTCACCTCGGCATCGACAGTTCCGCCAACGTTGAGCGCATCGAAATACAGCGTCTGCTCCAGCTCCCCCGACGTGTTTTCCGTCGTCGTCTTAAAGCTGTAGTCCAGCTCGCTGGGGCTGCCGAAGGCGACGTCAATGTCACAGGCGGGGGGCTTCCCTCGCGCAGAATCCCTGCAAAAGCAGCGCGACGCCGCACGCAAGTTTGGATATTGCTCTAACCGCACCCACGCCAACGAAAACGTCGAAGCGCAGCGCGACGGCTGGAAGGCTGCACGTAAACGCGATTAGCGCGTTTGTGGCAAAACCGCTCACGTTTCGGACAGCCAGCCCTTACTCGGCCAGGGCCTCGATAGTCTGTCGCTGAAACCGCGTCATTCGAGGAATTTGACGGCGTCTCTAGCCTGTTCCCAACACGCGTGCAAGGGTATGAATGGAAAGCGGACGAACTTGACACTGATCAGGTAAGCCTCAACCAACCTGCTCCAAAAGGAAAAAGGTGAGGCTGACCGCCGCGAAGATGGAGAAACGCGAATCGGAAAGTCACGTGACAGAGTGACCGAATCAGACCGAATCGTCAGTGTTGCTTTTCCGCGCTTTAATAATCTATGGCTCTTTAACTTGGTGCGCAACGAGGGAAGCCGCACTGTCGCATTTCTTTGGACCGTCGGGGTGCAACGTATATTTTCTATCCGCTTTTCGCAATTTAGCGACGGAGTGTTTCGCATTTCCACTTCTGTACCAATATTGTATTTCTTTATATTGGGACCGGGGCCAAACTTGGGCGTTTCGCCGCACCAGTACCCATAAAGGCCGGCAGCGTACGCAAGTATCGAGCATTATTTGCGACATTTGGCGACGAATTTCGCGTCTCGAAGCGAGGTGAACTAGGTAAGTTATTAATCGCAAATGCATGGATGGTCGCAGCATCTTTCTTCGGGGGCCGCCGGCGTTCCACGAGCGGTCCCTGAGGAAAGATGCTAGCTGCGTCCATCCATGCAGTTGCGATTAGTTCAAAATGAGCTCGGGCGGGCATTTTTCATCAGCGGCAAACCAATGTTTCGCGTGCAAAACTACTAGCTCTCGTTTGGACTACGTTCATTGGCAAGCCCACCCACCCTTGGTGCGGGTCTCCGTCGTGAAAGGTCGGGGACGCGTCTTGGGCCTGCAGAGACCGCAGCGTCTCCAGATCCTCCATGGTGAGCGTGCGGTTCATCCGGCTGTCGTCCATGTGCGTCCCCGGCGGCACAGACTCGTCACAGTCCACGTTCGGAAGAGCCAACGGTTTGGCATTCGCAGCCACTGTCTCACGGTTTACAACGTCACTCAGAATTTCGGGCTGCGCGAGGACAAAGTTCTCGTGATGACGGCCAGCTTGAGTGGGCACCTCCTGTCGCTCCTTCCGCGCGTCGGACGACTGGCGCCGGTTCGGCGCCGCAGGTTCCTACAGATAAGAGACAAAATCGATGTTCCAAAGCTTGACGAACAAGCCATAACCAGTAGCATCCCCTCCAGTAATCTGCGCATTATTATTGGCGCGACGTCTCTATCAGACATGTTGTTCTAGCCACGGAATTCCGAGGTCGGTCGGAACAGATAAGGTTGGTTCCTACTTCTCTTTGGTAGTCCGCGGTTATCAGGGGTTCGCTTTAACCGACCAGCCGGTGGCACCGCGTTTTGGGCTGTGCCATGCTGTAACGAGCGGCCAATAGACCGTACAATGGTGGAACAACTGTCATCGTGGAACATGCAAGTCGTTCCATCAAATAGCGAACGTCGGGGGCGCGGCCAACGCTATGAACCAACGAGCCAATCAAACAGCGTTGAAAGTGCAACGTCACTCCGCTTATCACCTTTCTCTATGGGCGTGATTTTGCCTTCTAATCCAACCCAGCACACAGTGTGCATTTATGTTGCTGTTTTCGTCCGCCATGATGCAGGGATTCCATAGCTGCTAACAGAGGGCAGTCTTTCAAAAGGGGTCCAGAAAACTTGATCAAGTAAGCACCGCCTTTTAGGCTTAGTGCGGATTACACATCTACACTGCATGGAAAACGGCGTGTTCCCTGTTATTTTGCTTCTATTTTGCCATGTTCTTCCTCAATGGCCCTTACAATAACTTTGCTTGCATGTGAACTGTAACCCAGTCATATTAATTGCTCCTTCAACATTCCCAAGCCTTATATAAGGCTCGTCTTCTGCCCATGCCAGCAACTTCACTGCTAGGCAAAGGGGACGTTAAACAATTGCAAGTTACTGCTAGTATTAAGGTGCAGCAGCTTTTCTGGTAGTTTCTGAAGAGGTAATGGCTTCAGGAGTTCTTCAGCTCGTTTTTAGGCATTAGACTTGTAACTTCTCCTTCCTTGCATTTCTTAATATGGCAAACAATGCTTCCTCCCACCCTAGGCCCTCAACATATAGAAGCTTCTATATATTGAGGGCACATTGAAGAGTGCAATATGATTGACACTGAAGGATGTTTGAATAGCCTGTGTAGCACAGCCAAAGGTTGAATATCAAACATGCCTTCGCTTCTTTTAAAATAGAACCACACCAGCAACACGTGCTAGAGTCGGGCAGGTAGCCGGGGGGCGGGGGGGTCATAAGGTTGGGCACCCCATGCCCCCCCCCCCCCCCCCCCCCCCCCCATTTTTAGCACTCAAAAGAATGTACAGCAGAGTGACACAACATTATTAACACTCCTAGTAAGCCCCACGTAGTATAAATCCTAAACTTATATAAGTCAGATAATGGAAGGGAGTCAAGACAGGACACAGTAAACAAAGGGCTGCCGCAGTCAAGATTGTTAGCCAAGTAATGGTAGCGACTGTATGACGAGACCTATGTTGAGGCTACCACACAGCACATAAACCAATGCTTCATTCACCCTATTGTCTAAAATCAGTTCCTACAAAAAAAAAAAAAAAGAACCTGCTTTTTAGGAACAGCCACATTTAGCACGGAGGATGCTGTATGCACACAAGCCTTGCTCGCCACACCTTAGTGAACTTGACATTGAATGGCTCTGGGGTGTGCAGCCCCCAAATCATTGGAGTGTGATGGTCCAGAAGTCTGAGATCATGTTGACAGGCTCACCACATTGGAAGGGTCCATCCTGGCTCCCCCAGGCTGATTGCCCATCGCAGGACGAGCAAGAAAGAAATCGAAAGCTCCGTCGGTGGGGGGTTGGGGAGGGAGGGGTTTCAAAATTTGCGAAGAGAGTAAGACCTGGCTGTCGGGTGGGTCGCTGCAGCAACAGTCCTTCCCCGCCTCCATCCTCCCCTTGGCCCAAGCAGGGAGCTAAATTTAGGCAACCTCCACCCAACTATTTTGGGAAAGTGGGCATCCACGTGTGTGTGCATCCTGCGGCTGCCATGTTTTAGTAAACGTCTCGGGCCACACAGAAAGCAACGCAGGACTCGGAACGTGATCCAGTTTTACGATTTTACTTTGGTTGCGTTATCTCTCTGGGCTTTTCAGTTGAGCAGATGCGAGGATTCTAAGCTTTGTTCCCAGGTGTGTCCCCAGATAGTTGTGTCTGGCTCCAAGTTGTTGCCAGCATTGTGGCGTGGACTTGACATGTCATGGAAAGTATACTAGCCTCCTATTGTTTTCTTGTGAATAATGCAGTACCTGATAAGCTGTTTGTAACTTTGTGTGTGTTGTTTTCCAGAAAAGGCTTATTTCTATCTGATGTTCCCAAACTTCTACAAAGTTTGTAAACTTTGGCAATGAGGCAGATGTTAAACATACCCCTCATTACCAAAGCTGATGATTGATATGTTTAACAGATACATAAACCAAGTGAAAATTTACCATTGAAGTGCTTATTCCTGCGATTGGCTTTCCCTGAATTATTTTACCTTAATTTTATCCCTTGTACTAATCAATGAACAATTTAATTCAATGTGATATTGTTGTACTGCAAGATATCAAAATAGACAAGTACTCCAGTTTGTTTTCATTAGGCTTATCTTGATGAGCACACTAACTTCTGTAGAGCAAACATTTGTGACAGAATGCAAATATTCCACTTATGTAAGCACAAGGTATCAAACTTCTAAGCAGCTTAATATAATGTAGTTCACTGTTCCTAATTCACAAGACATTGCATATTTAATATTGCATTATGAGCAATAAAATATGACCCATCATTACACATTAAAAAGTGGGAAGAAAGAATGAATGTTTTACCGGGTGATTCAAGAAGACGGCAGGCTCTTTAAATCGACCGGAAAATTCGGTTTCTTAACCTATCTCGCTACGACTTTGTGCAGCGTTGCCCACAGATGGTGCATTTTTTTTGTAAAATTTGCAAAGAGCGAACTTACTTGTGGAAAAGGTAAAGAAAGAAAAAGGCTTAGCTCCTATGGAAACGCAGCGACGCCACCGGTCTTCAAACAACACGGCACCGTTTCGCACGGGAGACAAGAGATGGCGCAAGCGGTCGCGACGCCAACTGCCGCCAATGACCGAGCATACGACGCAGAGAGCCGGCGTTTTTAGCAGACAAGGAACTGCAGTTCCTTGTTGTTACCGCGCCTGTTTTTGTTTCTGCAACTGTCGCCGCCTGCGGAACGCGCGCCGCTTTTGAGTCGAAAAGGTTGTCTGCTAAAGACGCTGGCAGCGCTGGCTCTCGACGCCGTATGCTCGTTCGTTGCGCCATCTCTTGTCTCCCGTGCGAAACGTCGCCGTGTTGTTTGAAGACCGGTGGCGTCGCTGCGTTTCCATAGGGGCTAAGCCTTTTTCTTTCTTTACTTTTTCCTCAGGTAAGTTCGCTCTTTGCAAATTTTACAAAAAAAAATGCACCATCTGTGGGCAACGCTGCACAAAGTCGTAGCACGATAGGCTAAGAAACTGAATTTTCCGGTTGATTTAAAGAGCCTGGCGTCTCCTTGTATCACCCTGTATAGAGTCCCGTTCAATCTGTTAGAACAAGATTAAGGTAGAAAGATAGGCTGGTAAGTACATCGCCTGGAAGGAAAGCATAGAACAAACAGAAATCAAGAAGTCTACTTCTGAAGTCTACCAAGAAGTCTATTTTGCCAAATAAACAGGGACCAAGAAGTCTACTCTGTCTTCTTCTTGGTCCCCATTTATTTGGCACTTTTCTTCCAAACCATTAGAACAATATAACCTGAGTGATATTGTTCCACTGTATCTAGAAAGATTAAAAAGAGCTGAGACTGTTTCAAGGGGCAGTCAAACGGCTAGGTGATATTGAAAAATATCACCTAGCCTGAAAAATACATCTCCATAACCACGGTACTCCTCCACAATAAATTATGGCAATACACGGGCTACTCGACACTGCTATTACTATAAATAATATAAATAATATATAGCAGTGCTACATCACCACCGAAACTTTCAATACAGAAACATTTAATACTATACCAGGGGCGGATCCAAGGGGGGGGGGGGGGGGGGGGGGGGGGGAGGCAGCCCCCCCCCCCCCCTAACTAAAGTTGACCCCCCCTCCCCCCTTCTGGGAGGGCAATTCGACATGGGTGGACCCCCCGGTTCCACACGAAAGAATGGGAGAATAGTATCCTTACAAATTTTCCTCCTCCCCTCCCCCCCCCCCCCCAGAACGGAGTTCTGGATCCGCCCCTGTACTATACCACATTACCTTCAACTCTGCCGTGTTTCATCACTTGACATCATAACTATTCTTTGCTCTACATGTTTTTGTTTTCCACCACTTCTCTCTGTAACGCTTAACGGCCCTGAAAGTAAATAAATAAATAAAAATAAACACTCGGCGACAACTTTTCTTGGCAATGCAGTGGAGAGGAGGAGAGCCAGCACACAGCTTTATTCAGCGCTCAAAATGGGAGAGAGGTGCCTGTACCCTCCACTGCATTGCCAAGAAAAGTTCTTGCCGAGTGTAGCACCTTGACCAAGTTCTTCAAAGTTTGTTTTTCAGCAATGACTTCTATTTGTCTCACACACACTACAGATCAGTGTTTTGTGTGTGGAGGAGCACTTACCGGTGGAATATTTTCTTTCCTGTCCTGTGCGAGAGAGTCGTCGCTCATGGTAGGTCCTAGGCACACAAAGGTGTAGAGTGAGTCTGCTGGAAACCGGTGTCTTCTACACCCCAGCCACCTGCCAAGTTATTTTTTACTCGTTTGAAAGGCATTCTTTATGTATCAAGCTCGTTATCAAGTGAATAAGTTTGCAAGCAGTAAGCCTGTCGCTCCATAACTATTGCCAAGAGTTACAGGTGAATTCCGACCTTATTACAGCTCGTCTCCTCTCTCGGTAACAGTAATTGTGTCGTGTGTATGTTTAGACAGCGGGAAGTTGCTCGGGGCCCAATGGGCGTCTGCTATCTGCACTGTAGATAAGAAATTTTGCCAGTGCAGTACCACTGCTTGCCTGGGGTCTTAAAAGGGATACTGAACCGAAATTTCGAGCCCACAAAACAAGGCTGGACGGATAGGCGGGACGCTGCGAAACCCCAAAACATCACTCGTACAGCAATATCTATAACGGATCGCCGTATTTTTGGAAAAGAAGTGCGCGATTGAACACAGCCGATGAGACAAGTCGCGTTACAATTCTTATTCCCCTCCTCCTCACTACGTCCCGTCGAGCTGGTATACAGAAGCGAGGAGGAGAGAAACGAGGACGCTTTTCCTCATTCTCAAATTTTCCAGGAGGACAATGACGTCATAGACCTCGCTTGATCGCGCCCTTCTTTTCCAAAAGTATGGCCATCCGTTTGAGATATTGATTTGTGAGTTATGTTTTGGAGATCATAGCGCCCCATTCAACGCTTCTGCGGCCTTATTTTGAGAAATCCAAATTTTGGTACAGTATCCCTTTAATGTGCACCACACAGTAGTCATTATTGCCGGTACATTGCTCATCCAGATCGAAATGGGGATCGAGCCTGGGATCCCTAGGTTCTGCAGAGTGAGCTTTCGCTCCACCTGATCCGAGCTGTGGTACGTAAACAAACTCGGCCATTGAACCCCCTCCCCTGTCTGTGCAATTAATATGGTTATTGCAAAAAATGATCTGATGAAGCGGCTATACCTAGAGCAGTCCCAGCTAGGTCCTGTTCTGGGGTCTTGGGTCAAAACACTATAAGAATTGCATGAATGCACTTTCACACAGATTACTTGGACATTTAATGTTTAACAAAAGGCTACAACCCTTTCATGCTGGTGGTTTGCCCGCTCAAAGCATCTGTACAGTAGACCGTGTCACCTTCAAACCATGTTAAGTTCGCATTAATGATGTTGCATATTGACACAAATACATTCTCAACTTTGTTAAACATCAGCGCCTCGGCGCAAGCACTAAATGAGAATTTCAACTGAACAACAATCATTGAAATGCTCCCCGGAAATATATTAGATCTGCCACAAAATGTCAATAAGCAGTAATTAAACTTGGAAACGCGTATAAGTTTTATTCCACGACTACAAAGTTTTTTTGTTTTGTTTTTTGCATTGAATCCTATGGGCCACGCCCACAAAATTGTCAATTTTTGCTTTTCTTGGCAAAAGACTGTAATGTTCCTGAGGGCTGTAATTTCCCGGGTATCATAGAAGGTAAATCAATTAGAATTTTGATATTTCCTTGAAAACTTTTTATTCCACGGAAAGTCCCACCAGAAAGTTGCCTATGAAGGGAAAATGCTCGATCGCACGCGTTGCCCAGTGTTTCCTCTCCTGTCATTAAAGCGTGGCTTCCTCGCTTTATTGCGATGCCGTAACTCTGCCAAGTTGAATAATTGCTCGGCTCAAACCCTTGTCCCATAGGTATTTGTTTGTTGTTTGATTTGCTATACTTTGGATATTAGCAGGCCTACTCGTAATAGGGGCAGACTTGGGGGGGGGGGGGGGGGGGGGGGGGGAAGAGGGAGGGAGAGGGAGGGGAAGGGAGGGAGGGAGGGAGAGGGAGGGGAGGTTGTCAGGGCGACCCCTCCCCCCTAAGCTCTTCAAGGTCAAATTTTTTAAAATAAAATCATTGATATACACAAGCCAAAAGTTGTTTTTGGTGGCACAGCAAATATTGGGTCAACATTTCGGCCGTAACGTCATATCTCAGCAAACTCCTCCCTTATCCCCCCCTTCTCGGCTAGCCGAATGCCTACCACCCCTCCCAGGCCTGACCCATAAATCTGCCCTGACTGGTACAGAGCTTCAACCTATCTGCCGTCGCTCACGACCCAACCCTCCTGAATTAAAATAAATTAAATAAAGTTGGCCAAGCTTGGTATTTAGCACCTACTTGAAGTCTGGAACAAAAGTGGTATGAACACCAATACACTACCAATCTGTTCTGAAATATGTACCGTAGAATACCGCGCATCCACCCCATTCCACATTAAGCGCCCATTACCAAATTTGCAAGATCTAAGAAAATATGTACAGTACATTTATATGTCAAATTGGTGACCGAACAAGTGCCCATCCCCCATTTTTTTGCGATTATCTCCAAAGTTAGAATGGGCACTTGCCCGGTATTTTACGGTATGTGAATTTCTGTCGATGAAATTGTGAGTAGTAAACGAAAATGGTTTCTCTTAGAAAAACAAATTTGGGGGTTCTACGTGCCAAACCAACGAAGGGCATCTGGCACGCCCCAGCGTAAAAATGAAGATCAATTTCGACCAACTGGGGATCTTTTGACGTGCAGCCGAAATTTCAGTTACACAGCGCCTTCTCTGCAATAAGCATCAGTCAGATTGCGGGCCCCTCAGCTGGTATTCGAACCCGCCACCTGGGGATCCCTAGGCCGGCGCTCTGCCTGGGAACCACCAAGGCGGCAGTTCCTGTTAGGATCCTTTTTCAAAACATATGGCCGGGCCGGCCGTGTAATACAATACAGTTTATTTTTCACCACAAAGTATATATAGGGTGTCCCCCCAAAAAAATTTAATAGGTTGTTTTTCAATGCAAAAATAACCGAACGCTCATTTTCTGCCCAAAGGTAGCGCTAGAGGTTCGAACCAGATGCCAAAGTTTCAGCACTAACCGTTATCTTATTCAAACGTTATAAGTGATATTCTTGATTTTCAATTCAAAAATGGCGGCCGACAGAGCTCTCGAATACACGGACCTCTATGGCATCAGTTACCGAAAACTGGCAGAAACAGGCCCCATTTTCCCATTGAGAATTTTAGAAAATCATAACTTTGGAATAAAATAACGGTTAGTGCTGAAACTTTGGCAACTGGTTCGGACCTCTAGCACCATATTTAGGCGGAGAATGAGTGTTCGGTGATGCATAGTTCATTTTTGAGGAGAGCAAAAAAAAAAAATTTGTTTTCGTTCAAAGTTCTGGGCCACCCATGCAACTTTAATAACACCGAAGTACTAACACAGATATACCAATGAATAAACGGCGAGCTAGTGTAAGTTATACATGATGATTGACACCTAAAACTGTGGTTTGAAAAACGGAACACTCGTGAAGGAGGAAGAAAATGGGACAGAAAACGTCTCTGGCATAACAGATATACCAGTAAAAACGGCGAGAGATGACAGCGCATGGGGAGCTCGAGCTCTTAATGGAATGATTAGAGGGCAGATGCGAAGCTAGCTGCCCTTGTCTCTGCTCACTGGGCTCATTCGATTCACCTGCACAAGCCTTGCCGCTGCAGAAATGTTTAGCGCGGTGCAGAAAAGTGCAGGGCACTCTACGTACTTGCGTCCGATGCAGCTAGCTTTGCGTTTACCCACTAACGGTTTCAACCAGAGCTTGGTGTTCCGACGTCCCCGCGCACTTTCGTCTCCTCTCTCGATTTCTACCCGTATAGCTTAAGTTACTACATAGATACAGCTAAATGCTACACAGAGCAGATGTATATACAAACATTTTGAAGAAACCCGAGACTGGGGAAATGCGAAAGGCGACGCCAAGAGAAGAGAAAGAGAACGTCTCAAAATGAGACGTTCTCCTTCTTTTCTGTTGACTACACTGTAGACAGGCTAACTGAAGTTAGACTGTTTATAGCGCAGCAAAAGCGTAATAATACTTACGTTAGGTGAAGGTTTGGAAGTCAATACTTTGAAGATTGAAACCTTTCGAACACAACTTTCGAACACAGCTTTCGAACAGAGCGTTCGAACGCGGCTTCTCAACGCTTACCGGATTTCGCGCCTCTCGGCATATTTTGCATGTTGCAGTCGGTAGTGTTACATTTGCGGCCGGCTGACTTTGAAACCAATATAAACCGCAATTTTTATTTATAAATACACCCAAAACACAAGCAAAACAGTATTGTATTTATACATTTTTGTGTTTTAACTATAAAGAATGCCCGACCGCAGAACTAGCTGAACCGGCTGAACTGTCAGTGAAATCCAATCCGATCCATTCAAGATGGCGCCGTTCACTAATCGCCTGCATTATCATGCTTAACTGCACCGTGCATCGTGTGCATGCAACCTTTTTCCCTGTCTGAATTTTTGAAGAGAGTTAAAAAAAGACTAGGCAAGTCGCTATTCCACAGCACATCGCGACGAAGTGGCCAGAAGGCACAATGGAGGACAACGAAGAAGACACGCATTTGTGCCTTCGGTGCAGCGCAACCATTTCGGGACTGAAGAACTACATCGCTCACCGTAAACACAACTGTTCGAAAACTGCGCGTGATAACAATGCTATCGCGCCAGTGGCTTCTCCAATTCCCGAGCAGCACTACGAGCCGTCCGCCTTGCGAGCAGACGACTTCTTCTCTTCGCTGGAGCTACAGAGCATCCAGGCAGTCGTCCCAAGCGATGCCCACTGCTCCTCTGCGGCGAACAAGTCCAGCCAAGCTGATGACGACCTGGAAGAGGCCGAGGACAGCGACAGCGACCTGTACCCGCCGATCTCCCACACAGGAGGCAAGTGGAAGCCAGGCTGTCGACCAGACGGCCGTTCTCAATGGAAGACCACGCTCTTCCCCGCTGTGAGTGTTTACTGGGAGTACTGTAGCTTCCGCGATCATAGCACCGTTGCTGCCCCCAGTGTCCTCTGAAAGTTTGGCCTGCCTCACTCTTCGAATTAAAAGGGGCACTAAAGTGGGTGTTTTTAGGTCGCCTCTTTTTATGGCATAAGTTCAATCTACACTCCCCTACTAAATATGGTGGAGCCTGCACTGGCGGCGGCGTGGCCGCCCGTATGGTCATGCGCGGCCTTTTTCTCTATTTAAACGCGCCCGAAAATTGCGACACGGCTCTTTGCCTTAGGCATCCCAGAAAACCCAAAATTACAATCATGCAAACATCGCGGTACGACCCTTTTCGCTAGGCATACCAGAAACGTGAAAATTAGTCGTTACTTTTTTTTTTTTTTCTCTCTTTAAAACGCGACCTAACATCGCGACACGCCCCTTGTAACTACCTAATAAAAAATAAAATAAAGGGGCGTGTCGTGAGTTTCGGTCGCGTTTTTAGTAGGAAAAAAGGCACATGATTGTAAGTTTTGGTTTCCTGAAATGCTCAGGTTAAATTTGCACCATATAAAGACATCTCAAAATCCCCTTTGGTTTCCTTTAAAGTCCATATGTGCCTAATTACTTTACCAACTAGAATCTCCCCAAGTTTCCGTGCTCAAAAAACTAAAATTTAATTTATCAAAATAAGGCGTGTCTTTGCAAGTGATGGCCATTGAAGCACGAAAAACGAGGAACTTTGGTGGTTCCTAGGTATTTTGGATGTAAAAGAGACTATTGTGAAAAAAAAAAAAAAGTATAAACAAATGTTTTAAGTAAAATTTCCAACTAAAAATTAGTTACACAAAATTAGAATGCTTTATACCATCTCATTTACATTCAGAAAAACAAAAAACAAAAAAAACTTACCTAAGTGTTGCCTAAATTGTCATCTTAAATTAGCATCCATAAGATATACTGTAAAACCCTTTATTTTCGCGTCCCCTATTTTTCGCGAATCGGTCACAGATGACATAATCGCGACCACTAAATTTCGCGAATTCCAGACGCCTGCATTGAAAGTCTTAAGGACCGAAATTTTCGTGCGCCCTTAAATTTCGCGAATTCTTCAATTCGTGAAATTCGCGAAAATTGAGGGCTCGCGAACATTAAGGGTTTTACAGTATATATACCTTTTTTTATTTTTAAGATTAGTGTTGTTTTAGATTTTTTTTTTTTTAGATATAGCTTGAACACTTCACAATAAAAAGCTCTTGGGAACTTTTATCGATACCTAATTATAGGTCCCTATTACATTTGCCGATTCACATCGGCCAAGAGCACAGAAAATGGCCTATGCTATAGTCTGTTCCCAAGCATCTCCTGCAAAGCCCTTCACCCTTTCCACTTTAGCAGTGTGAACGCTGGCAAGGAGATGAGTGGAGAGAAGACAATGAATCATGGCGAGCAGAGTGCTTTTTGGGAGGGGCTTGTTCTGCTTTCCTTAACTTGCAAGACTATAACCACGTCTTTTGCTTAAATAGAAACTAAATGGTACAGCTGCAACGGAAAAAAGATTAGTAGAAGTCACTTATGACTGGAGCGGCAAAATTGCGACAGGCGGCGCTGTCGTTCCCGAACGCGCCGATAGCGAGAGTGCCAGGCACGCTCTATGTTGCAAAGTGGGGGTGGCCAGCAGAAAGCACCTCATCCTAAAGCCCGCCTTTCGAAAGCAATCTTATCCCTCACGTTTTGCCTGAATGATGCGCCAACGTGTTAACGCATGTAAGCCCGTTTAATTATTTTTTTATATTTTTTTGCGTGGGCGTTGTGAGCGGCGGTATTTCCTTTAGCGCTGTTTTCTCCTAAACTAACAATAGACCCATTTCGAAAGACAACCTTCTGTTGGCAGGTGTGGAACCCCTGCACCATGACGGACTAAAACCGCAACGTCGTGGCACACTTTATTGCTCACTTTGTGTGTCTGTTTGGATTAGAAGGCAAAATCACACCCACATAAAAAGCTGAGGAAAGCAGTGACATTGCACTTTCGTCGCCGTTTGATTTTCTTGTCGGCTCCGAACCGCTCGCAACGCCTGCATAAAAAAATATTAAAAAATAATGAACGGGCTCACATGCACAACCACGTTGGCGCGTCGCTCGGCCGAAAAGGTAGCTTTCGAAATGCAGGCTTCGGGGTGGGCTGCTTTCTGCCGGCCACCCCCGCTTTGAAACATGGAATGTGTGTGGCACTTTTGCTATCTACGCGCTCGGGAACAATAGCGCCACATGTCCCGATTTTGCCACTCCGCTCCTCGGTCACTTGTGCTGGTCTTTTTCTGTTGCATCTGTACTTGAATAAATTTGTCTGCCTCACTTGTTGCACCCTTGTTCCAGGAACATTCATACGAGTCAAGGGAGCCAAGTTGCACCATCAAAGAATTTTTGTGCGTGCCATGTAAGCGGCTATACCGCAGCAAGTCCCAGTTTTCAAGGCACCAGCAGACTTCGTACCATTTGAAGAGAGCAGGCGGAGCACCAGCATCTCAAGTGAGGACTAGCAAGAGACTGGTATCCTCATTGTTTGCTGCTAACCATAGTAAAATTGCAGCAAGGTCACATGTGCAAGGCGCCAAAATGAAGACGCACAAGACCACTAAGAGGTCTGACGAGGCACTCGCTTTCAGCTGCCTTACCTGCAACGAGAACTCATCGGTGCGAGAACATCTCAAAGATGGTGCAAAAGCAAAAAATTCCCAAAACAAAACCTTGTCTCAATCTAAACAGCAGTGTCACGTCTGTGGCTACCGGTGCCACGGTAGTAGTACGCTAAACTTCCATATGTGTAAGCCAAAGCAGCATGATGGCAGGTACACAGGCATACCCTCATCAGGTGCACAACCAGCAAATAACTCCAGCACCAACATGAAAGATAGTGCTTGCACAAACAGTGCAAAAGAAAAGGAACTGCAGATCCAGAACACAGCCTGTAAAATCAATTCTTCACCTAACATGGAGCAGAATCTCGATGAAAATCAGTGTGGTGCTTCTGATTCGGGACTTAATTATAAGGCTTCCGAAATATTGGTCCAGAGCGAGACAGTGGTCTCGTGCAAGGGGTCAACAAAGGGCACGTGCAATGGCGTCACGAGGTTGTCCTGCCCCTACTGTCAGCAGCTTGTCAGTAAATCCTACTTTAAACTCCACGTGAACAAGCACACTGGTGCCAAACCCTTTTCCTGCCGCTTGTGTGGAAGAGCCTTTGCACACCGAAGCACCCTCAGCACGCACATGAAGCACCATCAGGGGATACGCAAGTTTCAGTGCCCACAATGCGACTTCCGTGCAATACGAGGCAGTATGCTGCGTCGCCACGAGCTGGCGGTGCATCAACACACGCAGAGCGCGCAAACCTATTCCTGCGATGCCTGCAGTACTAAGCACTCCAGCAGGGAGTCACTCAGGCGCCACAGTGCAAGGCATAATGCGGAATACGCCTGCAGCGTGACCGATTGTGGGCGAACCTTCCAGAATGCCTCGGGACTCAAACAACATTCTCTGACACACAGCGGCACACCCCCGTACCTATGCGAAGCCTGTGGACACATGACCAAAAGTGCGCACCACCTTGTGAAACACCAGCGGCGGCACAACGGGGAACGCCCCTTCAAATGTCCACACTGCGACTACAGAGCCTCGCGAAACAGCCAGCTACATCGGCACAGCCGTATTCACACGGGGCTCAAGCCATATAGTTGTCCGTACTGCAGCTACCAGTGCAATAACCAAGAGAACATTCGCAAGCACATCCTCAAGACCAAGAAGCATGTGGGTAAAAAGATGTACCCTTGCTCCCATTGTAATTTCAGCTGCAATGACTTCATTGGCTACAGGGACCACATTCGTCAGAATCATCGGCAGGACTGTGATGGCGAAGATGTGAGTGACCCACTGGTTGGTGCCAAGGACACTGTGACGCGAGAACAGTCGGGCTCGTTCAACTTGGAGGTCGGTGATGGCGGATGTGACGCACAAGGACCCAGAGAGACTGCCGTTGCTAAAAGCCCAGCTCTGCCGGAGCCAGCAGTTTTCCTCACCATTTCAGGATTAAGCGAGCCTGGCTCGGATACGAGGTCTGCGACGGCATCGAGAATTGCTCTCTTGACTGAGAAAACCAGCCTCCCTGGAGGTTCTGGTGAGTTAGTGACCTGTGCTGAGAATGACTTGACAGATACAACTGAGGGCATACTGCTGCCAGGAGGCCTGGATGGTGATCTCAATGATCAACTAAGTGAACAAGTTAACTTCTCGGGCCTGGATTCTCAAGATATGGTGTATGTTTTGGCTGAGTCAGAACAGTGATTTGTTTCTAAGTGGTTTGTTGCTAGAATAAATTAAGACTGTTGATTTGTACACAATTTGATAGTTTTTGCAAGTCATGCTTGGCTGTGAATATTAAAGCACGTTTGAGGTACTAGGTGTATTACACTTCCATCAAGGTCGCCGGTGGATTACCTTGTACATTGGTTAAGAACAGGTGTCATTAATAGTTCATTATTGCAGATAGTAGTAAAGAGCTATTTTAGTGAACATACTTTACTAACTAAAGGATAATGAAACAATGTCATTGTCTCGTTGTCTTTGGTTCATAAAATCTAACCAGTCCCCAGTCTTCTGGACAGACTCCTTGGGCATTGCAACTGCGATAAAATAAAACCTACATATATGAGTTTTTTCCCGAAGGGAAATGTTTTGTATTTGAACTCCAGTATTGAAAATGTGATGCATTGTACAAAAAACAAATGCTTCCTGCGTGCATAGAGAAGTAGCTAACATGAACCGGTATTACATTCAACAAGTAGAGAAACCATTTTCAAGCAAATATTTACTGTTTTTTTGTTTTTTTTTTCTTTTCATATGCAGGTATTTTATTTAGCAATGTTTTATATGTTGCGATATCCTCCAGCAACTGAACAGCTAAATTGACATCAGATGTTTGTTGTTGTTTTTTTCTATCTTTTATAGTTCTAGAGTAAAAATGAAAAGGAAATATTTAGATGAAGCCTGCTAGGTAGTTGTAACCTCTACTGGAAATCTTTTTATTTAAAGTTAAGATGAATACTAATGAAACATTGATAAAATAACACTTTTATTTCACCCAGAACTTCTGACATGCAGTCTTTGTTGAACATAGTCTGTGCATATTTTCTCAAAGTTCTCAAAAAGTGCTGCAACAATATGTACCATATATACCACAACCTTGACTACTTTTATTACAGCTAAAGTAATTTATCACAATATCCAATTGGTGCATTTCGGCCTTAGCAGCCCTTGCACTGCAAAACCCCAATCAACCAACTATAGAATATCCCATAAAAAAAAAACTACACAACAAGCCTGGCACTTTACATATAACTAAATGCACACATCAGCCAAGGATGAAGTTTGTGTTGAAGACATCCACAAACTTCAAGGGGAGATTGTGCTTCTGGTATAATGCACAGCCAGCAAAATTTTTTTCTTTTTGGTTCTAAGAAACCTATTTGCAAAAGCATTGTTCTAAATTTTCAAACTCGTCTATATGAACACATCTTTAACCTGTGGTGTACACACAATGAAATATCTAGCCTTTTCTAGAACAAGAACCCACCACCGAGGCTTGGCCTTAGGTTCAGCCTACCATGCTCTAATTCGAAGGTTCAGTAATAATTCTAAAGCAAACAGTAATTAAAGGCAACCTGGCAAAGTGCAAGACGGAATTGGTAATCAAAATATTTCTTTTGCTTTGAGGTACAAGGGCAGTGGCGTACCAACTTGTTTTTGAGTGGGGGGCAAACCAGACCCCCCCCCCCCCCAGGGCCGGGGGTGGTGCCCTAGGTATCCCTGTGGCGCTGCCGGCTAGTGGTTGTCCTGCCCAGTGGCGGCTGTTTCAGGGGGGGGCAAAACACATGCCTTGCCCCCCCACTCTGGGAACTGGGGGGGCAAGCACACCCCTTGCCCCCCCCCCCCCCCCCGGTTGGTACGCCCATGTACAAGGGGATTGAAAACAAGCATACCAACATCAATAGACCTTATGTGAAATTGCTTGGTGGTCTGACAACACTGAGAGCGTCACCATTTTAATGTTGGCAAGCGTCATCGGTATCGAAGCATAATAGAGGCATCGGAGACAACCGTACGGCAGTGTGCGTTGGCATGGCAGCTGTGTTTTCCGCCTTCCGACCATGGAATGTGGACAAACAGCTTAAACAACCTACTGCAACTGTATGACGAAACTCTCGGAGGCCTGTACACGCTGGCGACAACCTCGTCGAAGCAGCGGAGCAAGTCCTATGCCTTCACTCTGGAAGCTTACACAGTGCGGGTTGTCACCAGCATGCAAAGGCCTCCGAGAGTTTTGTCAGACAGTTGCAGTAGGTTGTTTAAGCTGTTTGTCCACACTCCATGGTCAGAAGGCGGAAAACAAAGCTGCCGTGCCATCGCACACTGCCCATACGGTTGTCTCCGATGCCTCCCCCGTGCTTCGGTACCGACGATGTTTGCCAACATTAAAATGACGATGCTCTCAGTGTTGCAAGACCACCAAGCAATTTTGCATAAGGTCTAGGCAAGCAAAGAGGAAGTCTGTCATTTCTATTTTCGACGGATGAAAACAAGAAATGTAACTGACGATACTAAATACTGAGTGGACACGGAGAGGGCAGAACCCCATACAAGGTTCTGAGCTTGGCCTTTCTGACATGTAATCCAGCTCTGCTTGTCAGCATGCTCAGCATCTCTCCCAGGAATATGAATCCATACATACCCGAGAGATAGACAAGCACGCTGAGCAGTTGGCACCTTGCAGTTACAGTCGGTTGCTTGCTGTACAGCGTACACTCATTCCAATCTTCTCTCTGCTGCTTTCTCAAAAGCAACTGAGGGTGCTCCTTTAACTGGAATATTGGCATATTAGCTAAACGTGGTGGAGGAGCTCACTTGGCTAGTGCGATGTGATGAAGCAGGTAGCTAGCATGTTCTGACGTGACGAGGGCATCCTTTCCTCCGTGCACAATGAAGGTGGGGCGGCAAATTCGATCTAGCTCGGCGCAGCATTTATCTCCAACCTGCTTTTGCAGTAGGTCTTGAGTGAAGTCGCAGTAGCATTCTCGTGCACTTTTATGCACTCAGAAAAGTTTCAGCATTGTGTTTTCTGCTGCATATTGTAAAATCCCTGTATTTGTGTGGCATCAAGGTTTGCGATTTCTAAAGGCTGGAACTCGCCTCTACAGGCAATAGGGCTGTGCGGCTGAATTTTCGCCGCGCATACGCAGCGCCACTCCTCCCTTTGGCGAGGCGTGCCGATACTTGTTAGAAGTACGAGGAGCAGTCGACGCGGGAGGCTGGTGCGCTTGTCGTGCTGGCCTCGCGCTTCGTAAAGTAATGTACCGAATGCAAAAGGTACGCAAATGCCACAGCATCGTATTAAACTGAAAGATATCCGCCTCCCGAAAAGTTTTGTTTGGTTCCTGGGAGGTGATTCAAGAAAGATCGCCAGAAGCACAAATCGCCAGATGTGCGGAGGACAGGTTTAATTATTGTTTCTCTATCTTGTCGCGCGATTCATTAATGCAGCTACGTTTGCTTGTCACATTAATAGGGACTTTTCGTAGGTAACACGCGAGAGCGTGCAGGGGGTTGCGTTGTTTGGGGGCAGTATGAGCTGGCGCCCCTGGGGCCCGCAATCCGACACTGACGTCCTACGATAAGTCCCTTATGTAATAGCTACGATGGTTCCCCATGGCTGTCTACGAACGAAACCCCAATATGCAGTTACCATTTCTTTTATAGAATACTAAATTTGAGAACCAAGCTCACTTTGCTTATCCGCCCATTTTGTTCCCCGATGTTAACAAGAGAAAGCGGGTAAGCGGCAACAGACTTGGGAAAAATTAGGCAGATAATCGTAGCCCCTATTGCGAACTGACTTGAACACATAATTGAAAAGAAATTGACGGCTGTATTCTATTTTTCCTATATAATATTAAAATGATGTAGTTAGCCCTCAACAGGCATAATTACTTCCTAAGGGCGTCACAAAATTAGACAATAGAGCATCCCTGGGTCAACCAATTTGAGCGTGTTGGCGATGTTAGATGTTCCTAATGTAATAGCTGGGATGGTTCCCCGTGGGTGTCGACAAAATAAAAATGATTACGCTGTTACTATCTTTAAACAAGTTTAAATTTGAGAACCCAGCTCACCTTGCTTACTAGCCAATCTTTCATTTTGATAAATTAGTGGAGACTGGGTCGAGAAAACTGGAAACATCAACCGTGGACAGAAAGAGGTATCTCTCATATACGGTTAATATTTTTAGTTTTCGGGCAATTCATCCAAATTGTTAATATACACACCGGCTCGCCTGCGCTCTCGCAGTAATTTTTATCAATTTTGTTCCCTGATGCTTACAAGAGAAGGCGAGTAAGCAGCGAAAGGACATGAGGGCCAATGATCAGGTAATCATAGCCCGTATTGAGCACTGACCTGACCGCATAGTTGAAAAGAGATTTACACTGACGGCCGTACTCTAGTTCTTTTTTTATATTATTAAAATGATGTGGTTAACCTACAACAGTCATAATTAGGGGTGTCGCGAACCGGCCGCGGTTCGAGTTCGACCAGGTTCGACTTTTTCGAACTTTTAGTGGAAAGTTCTTCGAACCTTGTATTGAGGTTCGACTCGTGTGCGCATGCGCGACAGGCTGGCCAGTTGGCTTCGGATTGGATGGTAATGGCTAAGAGAAGAATTAAGTGCAGCGCTGATCGGCTATTTCAGTCAATACAGTACTAAAATTTAAGTTATTAACTTCTTCAGTGAATAGAATTAGTTTCTTTTAATTGCAGCTGTTCACACAATAAAATAACCCTCTGCATAAAAAAAGAAATTCTCCAAACCTAGACATGCTTGTATCAAGGTCTGGCCACACTGTCCACAAAGTCGAACCGGTCGAATCTGGTGAAAAGTTCGAAGGTTCGTCGAACCGGTTCGACCCAGTCGAACCCCGAAAGTTCGACCAAAAAATCGCGAACTTTTGTCGAACTAGATTTTTTGGTCGACCAAAAATCGCGAACTTTTGTCGAACTAGATTTTTTGGTCGAACTTTCGGGGTTCGATTGGGTCGAACCGGTTCGACGAACCTTCAAACTGTTCACCAGATTCGACAGGTTCGACTTTGTGGACAGTGTGGCCAGCCCTTGATAGAAACATGCCTAAGCTTGGAGAAATTTTTTTTTTTTTCATGCAAAGGGTTATTTTATTTTGTGAACAGCTGCAATTAAAAGAAACTAATTCTAATCACTGAAGAATTTAATAAATTAATTTTTAGTACTGTATTAACTACAAAAGCCAATCAGCTCTGCACTTAATTCATCTCTTAGCCATTACCATCCAATTCGAAGCCAAGTGGTCAGCCTGTCGCGCATGTGCACACGAGTCGAACCTCAATACAAGGTTCGTCGAATTTGCCACTAAAAGTTCGAAAAAGTCGAACCTGGTCGAACCCGAACCGCGGTCGGTTCGCGACACCCCTATTTTGTAGCCTAACACTTCCACCAAAGTCCCCGGCGCTCTTCTACTACGAAGAGCCAACATGCAACGTAGATCAGTGGTTACGTCACTCTCTCGGGGGAACAGCAAGTCTGCTCAAGCAAGAACTAAAGCTCTCTCACTTTGGAAAGGTATCTAACCGAAACGGGGATAAACGAACTTGGCGTAGAGAAAGCCGAGAAAGGACCTCCCCAAAGACTACGTGAAAACATCTTCGATGGCTGCATAGACCGTAGACGCCAAGGGGGTAGACCACAACCTTGACGCACAGCTGGCGCAGCCTTGGCCTTGCCAGCCTTGCGCACGGTTACCGGCTGCTGCACCAACAAGATCGGCTTCCATTGAGCCACCATTCCAGAACCTCTGTTACAATTATTTTAAAAAATGTGGATTGTTTTCTTGATTATTTTAATAATAAGTGGCAATAAAAAAAAATGTAAAATCGTAAAATAACGAGCGCAAGCAGCTACGTTTTAATTTTTTCCCATGAGATGGCGCTTGTAACTACCCAATTGTAGAAACTGTTACATTATTTTTATTTTTTTACTCGTAATCATACAGCATCCTCCAGCAGCTCCGCATCCATTGCTGTCATTCGTGAGGTCTGCAGGGTCTGCAGCGTCTCGATGCCTTTTAAAAAATAATCAAATTACTAAAGGAGCCCGAAAATGCACCCTGATCTTTCTTCACACTTGCACAAAGACGAGTGTAATCAGCTAGTTGCGCTCCTGAAAAAATGCCACGACGAGGTGAAAACCTTGAGTTTTTGTGATGGCGATCGTAGGAGCCTACTCGAAATCGCCAGGAATCATGTCTTTTTTTCTTTTTTATTATTATTATCTTTATGTAATGACTGCCTTACTTTTCAGAAAAAGTGGGCAAAGTTCTTTGGAGCGTGTAACGAGGCGGACAGCGCAGTATGGAGGTGCTTAAAGAAGGAGGTAATATCAGTTACCCCCACCTTGCTGCGTTATCGCTCGGTTATAACCTCAATTTCGAGATGCGCTGTTGTACGTCCACACGGTGGGTAATGCTTTTATTTATTGATTTTCTTTTTAGAGGCTGGAAAAGCGAGCAAAAAACTACGAGAAGTCGTTCGCCAAACGGGTCTCCCAGATGAAGGACAGCTGAAAGTCGCCCCATGCAAGTCATGACTATCAAATTTTACGAAACCACGTACGTAGGAAGTCGACGAAATAAAATAGATTTGTATATATATTAGAGACTCGGATGTGCTCATCTAGCAGTGTTTCTGTCTTCAGTGGCGACCAGATCCGACGTCATTTTGTCCACCATTTCGACGTTATGAGCAGTCTGGCGCGTGCAGAAGGCGAGCACTCCGGGGATTCACATCACCTTCAAATTGGTAGTGCACAAAAGCTTATAAGTTACATCACGCTGACACCTAACAACAAAATGGCGGATTGACGTCACGTGAAAACACCCTCTAGCCTTCCAAGTTGTACCAGTGTTTCCAATCATTCACAGACAGACGGATGAACATCTAATGCACTATCGAGTACGAATGAAATGCGAACAGCGGAGCGCGTGGCATACGATACATGCTGTGCTACCTAGAGGCAACTAGGAACTGATAGAACTATGAGATGGACAGGGGGCTGCGAAGGTGTGTGCCTACTCCAATGTGCATACAAAGTATTTGTGCAGGGTTTACTACAGTTGATAGAATGCCATTTCATCGAAGCACATTTTCGAGAACGGGCACGTTTTATCGAAGCACGGTTGAGAGAAAGCAGAAGCTCAGTTTAGAGAAACGCCGTTTATTGAAAAGGGGACGCTATTTAAAAAAGGCTTTCCTACTTCGTGCATGTATCACTGGTGCGCGTGTTAACCCAATCCCCCGCTGCGCTCTCGTCGCTTCGCGGCGGCAGTCTGCGGCGGCTCATTACAAAAATGCTAACTCACCTGACTTACCTATGCGCGCCGCTTCGTGGCGGCCGAATTCGCTAAAAGGAGGCTCATCGCCATTTTCTCTATTCTGGGTTTCTCTATAAAGGGATTCGACAAACTGGGGTCGGTAAAACGGCTTTCGCTAAAGCGAGCTTCTCTAAACCGCATGCCTCCAATTTGTGCATACCCTCGTAACCCCTCTCTCCACTCCACTGTTTTAACAGTTCCTAGTTGCCTTCAGCTTGTTTAGCATGTATCGAAGGCCATGCTGTTTGCATTTCATTCGTACCTGATAGTGCAGGGTGAAAAAGAAAAAAACTGTAAGGTGTTTTTTTGCTGCAAAATTGAACTCTACATCGTCGAACGCCCTGCTTGGATGTAGCACTAACGGTCTAAATCAGATTCTGAAGTTTAAGAACTAACCATTATCTTATTCTAAAGTTGTGATTTCCTGGAATTAGTAATAGGAAAATGGCGACCGACGGAGCTCTGGGATACACGGAGATGAATGGTGCAAGGAACCGAAAACGGGCCTCATTTTCCCATTGTAATTTTCAGAAAATCACTTGTAACTTTTTAATGAGATAACGGTTAGTTCCAAAAATCTGGTATCTGATATGCAGACTGCTAGTGCTACATTTAGGTGGAAAATTAACATTTATTTTTGTGGTGCAAGGAACACTACATTTTTGGAGGGAACACGCTGTACACTGTGCGAGACTGTTGGGCAAACAAGCGATCGCAGTTTTGCTGTTTTTTTTTAAACTAGATTTGAAATTCTGTCATCAGAACTACTAGTGCGGTGGAAAGTGACCATTTAGGACTCTTTTTCTAAGGGGTAGATTGGTGACTGCCAATACTCTTTCGAAGTGGGATGCAAAAAAGTACCAATGTCGTGTTTGCGCTAACAGTGTCGCACAGTGTACCAGTTAAGTGTTTGGTCCTGAATCTTTTGCCATATTGTACTTTGAGCTTACAGCACTGCACTACATAAAATCATCTACACTGCGCAATGCTGCACACTTTCTCGAGGATGATTTAATTACCTGGTCATGTGTTCTGTTCCAAGCTTGTTCACCGCTTTTGCTGACAATATTTGGACGACTAGGAGAGCACCAGTGCTGCAGGTATGAACAATGCGGTGTGGCACCATGTGGCATTTTCTTTTCAGGGCGTACATACTGATATTAGTATGAGCTGTCTTTTTAGTTTTGCTTGATTTCCTCCACCATTGCACTGACATTAGTTTCACCAGATTTAGCATAGAATACGTTTTTAGCGAGCCTAACTTGGTGGAAATGTAAGATGCAAGTGTTGTGAGCGAGGCTGCAATATATAGTGTATTCTCTACGTACTATATTACTGTAGCAAGTGGCACCTCACTCTCATTGGGTGGCGTAAGCGATCATGTGACCATGGTAACAACCAGTGGTGTATCAGCTCGAACAGGATATTTTTTTTTTTAAGCATAGAATAAGAGCTAAAAGAGGACAATGAACTTTGAGAAATATGCATTGTTGAAGGAAGTTGCGGTATGAGTCTGGTACATTAATGATTGCATTGAGATTGATCAACACAAAAACGTATTCTACATATGAAATTTTGTCAGGTATGGCCAAAGTACTGCCATAAATGTTTTACTGATCTGTTGTAATATGCATGGCAACGAGCTAATTCAAGCAGAGAGCATGGGTGTTTGAATTTTTGTTCAGCCTGCCACACCACTGTAGCTGCACATTTTAATTTGTACACTTTTATAGTTGTAATAATGATATACCTGGCTTATATGTGACATCATTGCACCATGCTGGTGGTCATTCCTAGTTATTGCCAAAAAAAGTTTGGTGGTGGAAAATGTATCGTAAAATACCGAGCATGCCCCCCCCCCCCCTGGTGTAAGCGGCCACTCCCATTTTATGAAAATTTAATATTTTTGTGGCCGCCATCTTAAATGTTAATCCCGAACGGAGTAAGGGCCCCTTCTCTATTTTGATCGGATAATTTCTCATTTTGGAAGGGGTGCATGCTCAGTATTTTACGGTGTGCTGCAGAAGGTACGCACTCAGCAGCAAGGCCACCTCCACAATGGCAGCTGACGTGACATCATTGCAAGCCATGTATTAGGGGAGTGAGGAGGACCTTGTGCAACAACTTTGAGGCACACACCTCCGGTTTTATGTGGTGTGCAAAAACTATCTACGAAACTCCCTATAGACTTGCTTTTGTGCACCGCCTTCGGAGAATTGGGCAGGACAGTTGAAATGGCTTATTTAGGAGGATAATTTAACACATGGTCAGCACAGGAAGTGAGAGATTCGGCATAATTTAAGGTAGCTTATCCTATTGCTTGTAATTCTTCAACGATTCAGCCAGAGATGGAAATAGGTTACCATCTGCATCCTTTCCTGCAGTATATTCACCTTGCACATCTTTCAATCTTATTAGTGAACCTCTCCCTACTATAGACCATTTTACTAAAAAGAGCAGAAAGGGAAATTTCCTCTCTCTCACCCCGGCCCGTCGTCTGCTCCGTAGACTGCAGTACCCAACATCTGGTTGGCTTGCACACACTGTTGACAATCGCGTCAGTTTGGCAATATTATGTGGAAATGTGGGTATTTAGATGTGTAGGTTATTGTAAAATGTTATGCTCGATAAAGAGACTAAACGGGAACAATCCTGCTGTCACCTGGCGCACAAATATAAAGAAAAGCAAATACAACTGTGTAAACAGTTGGTCCGTCATCCCCGGCAAAAAGTGAATGTGGTTGCACTAACATTTTGCAAGATAGTATTTGTACAGTCGGCATCAAACCTGTCTAGAGCGCGGGAACGCTGTGCTCCGGACTGCGCATGCGACATCTGCCGGCGGACGCTGGGGCCGATATAGCACGCCTCTGAGCATGCGCCGCCATTATGCAGCGCTGGGCAGATGCCAACGTTCGTGCTGACCCTTCTGCAGACTCCACCGACCGCCAGAGGAGCGCTCGACGCTTCCAGGCTCCGAAATCAAGGCGCTCGGTGCGGCGGCCCCGGCGCCGCCTGCTCTGCATTATCGTGCGTTCTTTTGAGAGGAGTTCAGCCGCTGAGCTCACGTGCTTGCTCCCGTACTAGCTCGAAACCACTCACGGGGTGTGCCGGAAGCTACACATTTTGTTGTTTGTGTGTAATGCTTCCTCACCGCTACCACTTTAAGAGCTTGTTATCTCTGTACTTGCGATACGTCGTCCTTCCTTTTCCCCCTGTATCGGGGTTTTGTCTAAAATGTGAAGCCTTCACCAGCTTGTTTGCGCCCTAACTTTTTGTAGCACATTCGCTTTTTTTTTTAACAATACCACAGCGAGCATTACAAAGTGAATGTCGAACTGCACATTACGTCACCAGTGGTCCGATAACACAACAGACCCTCGCGATGAGACAAGATGAAGATAACTATACTCAGTCTGACCCTTCGATAGACGCCAAAACTACGAGCCACCAGGTCCAATCATGGGCTAGTTATAAATCACGTGGTATGTTGCTCCCAAGACACGTAGGTCGGAGCAACCTACCACGTGGCTTCTAATTGGCGCGTGACTTGACCTTTCTGCCTGTAACTTGGGCTCTCACTACAGCGTGTGGCGATATGAAGTATATGGTCCGTGAAGCGCATTTGAAGCACTACAACGTTTGAGCACATAAACGAGAAGGAAGCGGGCAGGGATGGCTTGAAGAAACGCTTATTACTGAAAGGGAAATTCAAATTTTATTGTCGCTACACTCGGAGACAGCTTGCTGTCGCGAAACAAAAAGTGGCGGAAAGTGGGCGCAAAGTGAATGGCGCACTTTCTCCTCTACCTTCGACTGAATTGCAGCATAAAAATGTTCACGAGTATAGTGTTTTGCAAATTCTTTGAAGGTTTTCGGCAATTCCCAGGGTCACTTGTGCGACTTCAAGCTATGCGGAAAATAAAAGCGCTCATATTTTACAGCACTTTCATGCACCTCATTTTAGGCACTGGAATGGAATGCTGGCGATTTATTTTTAATGACTGGACTTCTAGACCAGGCATTAAGCTATACTCATATAACTCTCAAGCAGTGATAAAGTTTACACTTTCTGGCTTCAATACAACAAACCCATAAAACAGCCATTCTTCATAGCCCCATTGCTTATGAGGTGTGTATGTTTTGTTTGCTTTTATTACTTAAAAACTGTAAGTTGGTCATTTATTAGTCTGGGAGTCGTTTGCACAAAGAGATGGGAGTGAGATGATTGAATTGTAGGTTTAAAAAGAAAATGCTATGGAGATAACAAGCTCTTAAAGTGGTAGCGGCGAGGAAGAATTACACGCAGACAAGAATATTTGTACCTTCCAGCGCACCCTGTGAGCGGTTTCGCGCTAGTACTCTAGCAAGCACGCGAGTTCAGCGGCTGAACTCCTCTCAAAAGAATGCGCGATAAGGCAGAGCAGGCGGCGCGTGGGCCGCCACACCGAGCGCCTTGATTTCGGAGCCTGGAGGCGTCAAGCGCTCCTCTGGCGGTCGGTGGAGTCTGCAGAAGGGTTAGAACAAACGTTGGCATCTGGCCAGCGCTGCATAATGGCGGCGCATGCTCAGAGGCGCGCTATCTCGGCCCCAGCGTCCGCCGGCAGATGTCGCACGCGCAGTTTAAAGCGCAGCGTTTCCGCGCTCTAGACAGGTTTGATGCCGACTCTACTGATTTACGCCTTTAGCAACTATATGTGGGAAGCCGATGTAAAAGAAAACATGCTTATTAAGTATGAAACAACAACTGCGCAATTTGTTGTATGAAGACCTTCGGCGTTAAGTTACATTATTGCAGATATTTGTGGTGGCCTATTTCTGGGGTTCAGAGTTTTTGGTTTAAACCATTAAAAACCGATAAAAGTACGCCGAATTTATTTTCGGGAATTCGGTTTTAACCAAAAAAGGTAAGTTTGTAGGTTCGGCGTTTTTGATTTAAACCAATAAAAACTGATAAAAGTATGTCGAATCCATTTTCTAAAATTCGGTCTTAACCGGAAAAGGTCAGTTTGACCTTCCAGTCGTACCGCAGAGCCATGGCGAAAAGTTGGAACGACAATGTCTGTCGAAACGTGTCCAAATGTATGGGATACATGGATGCCATCACGATGTTCTGGTTTAGTGTGCGCATCATCGATCCGATTGTCAAGTCCGAAATGCCCCATGACTTTGTCGTGTACCGGCGTGTTTGTAAACTTGTTGTGAGGGAGACTGACTTGATGCAAGCTCTGCAGCCAGAGTTTAATGAGTACACGAAATATGTTGTGCTTCAAAACGTCACACTGTGTTTCTTTTGCCGGTCCCAATTGGTTGATTGACCGATTTTGGCTCAGGCAGCGCTTCATCTCCTCTGCCTGCCAGTGTCCAGTGTTAGCGTTGAGAGTGCATTCTCGAAGCTCAGGGTCATATTAACAGGAAAGAAAGAGTATGGATCAACGAGGAGAACCTGGGAAAGTACAGTGCCTCTCAAACTTAACGCCGCCACTCAGTTTCGCTAATATTGATCTATTGCATGCTACCCAAAGATAAATTGATCGCTGCAGCTGCTGGAATACCTTCCTCTGGATGGGTTTTCAACGGCGACACAAATCTTCACCAACTATTTCGACCGCTAGGTTCAGGAATAGCTCAAAAAGTGAAGAAACCAGACCATCTCGTTGCGGCGTTAAGTTGAGGCGCATTGTACATGTGTGTTTACTATAATAAGATCACATAGTCCTGATGTGCAGAAGGTGAAATTCCATGTTCTTTGTTTGGGCTTAGACTTCATATCTGACTTGTTTGTACTTCTGTGTTTTTTTCTTGTTTCTTTTACAGTTGCACACATTTGCCAAATGAAGTGTCCATTTCTTTTTCAATGTATCTGTGCCGTTATTCTTTGAGTGGTCACAAATATCGGAGCTACAAGGATTATTTGATCCGGTGTCCGTTGGTGTTTATTTTATACACCAAAAAAACAAAACAACTTTAGTGGGCATAAATATGCACCGAAAAAAAACGAAAATTGAATTTTAAAATGAACACCGAAAGAAGTATGCCGAATTTTGAACAAATAAAAACCGAAAATGCGAAACCCTATCTATCTCTAACCAGAATACCTTTTTGTGATGTTTACATGTAGGTGGTACTTGGAAAGCGACTAATGAGTGTGCAGTTGACTTCAATGCACCGTTGTAAACCCAACGATGTGAGTGTGCCGGCAGCAGGGTTTGTGCAAGGTTGTTTATTAATTAATAAAAAATAAAAGTAAAGCAGCTAACCTCGACGTAATGGTGCTTCCTTGGCTAGCAAAATTCTATTAAATATGGTTGGGCATGTGTAAGGAAAACTTTACCTCGTTGGGAAAACTGCACAGGGTTGGTAATGTTTCTGAACCCGGAGAAATAAAAAACATTATGTTTGCATGGCGTTTCACAAAAGCCAAGCAAGACTTTTTTTTTTTAACTTTGAACTGTACAATCGGGATCTTATTTTCTGCTGATGCAGTAGGTGCAGCGGCCGAGGTTCATACTGCCAGTTAATGCCATTGTTATTGCAGTAACCAAACGAAGGTACGCTAGTGGATTCTCTACTGAAATAAGACAACAATAGCACAATAGACTGCCCCTGGAATAGTTATAAATGTTACAGAGACGCGAACCACTTTACAGCGGCAGCAGCGAGGAAGTGTTAGATGTTCGGTACAGCCCACGGGTACTGCCCAAAAATGGAGAATAGCCAGTTTGCCGTCTGCTATAGAATCAGACATGTGCCCTCTCCAATTTTTATCCCCCTCTCCCCAATTCATAGAACTTACCGGATAGAACAAAACTGCGCCGACCTGAAAGCACTTATAGTAGAATGGTCTATAATGCCCAAACGAGTTTAGCAGGAACTGTAGGCTGAACGATATGACAGCATTCAAACCTACCGTGGCTACAAAAAAAAGCCAGGGTATTGACTTGCTTTTTTGAACAGAGCTGCTTTTCAGTTTGTTGCTAATATTGCACATAAGGGGGAACAGTTTTCTCATATAATGGGCATATTTTATTTTGACCAGTTATGTCCGATATAGGAATTGAATGCTCGAGGCAAAACGAATTAGTTATACTTAATATGTTGCTTAATCTTATTAATTCTAGGGACTTTAGAAAGAACGCAGTAACTTCCAAAGCACATAGTAAAGCACAGAAATGCAATTGAAAATGGTGCCCATCACGTTTAGAAATGGAAGAGTTAAAATAAGTGTTCCGAGACAGAGAGACTGATCTTGTCACTAAAAGCTTTATTGTGACACAAAATAACATTCAGTCTAAATAAAAAATTAATTTTGAGAAACTGAAATAAAAAAGTAATATGAATTTCCACGTTGTCGGTGTATCAAACACGACAAAAAAAGAAAAAAAACAGTCTCAGGTTTTGGTTTGCCAATGCTCCTAATAAAATAAACTCTCCTTAAACAAAACCGTAGCAGCACAGGAATCAGTTTGGTCCATTCTTAGGCGGTATCGGCCAAGGCATCCTCATCGTCGAATTCTCCCTCATCATCAGCTGTGGCCTCCTGGTACTGCTGGTACTCGGACACTAGGTCGTTCATGTTGGACTCTGCCTCGGTGAACTCCATCTCGTCCATGCCCTCTCCGGTGTACCAGTGCAAGAAAGCCTTGCGGCGGAACATGGCTGTAAGGAAAATAGGAAACATTGTAAGACGTCCAACCTAAAAAAAAAAGACCAAGACTAGATATGCGCACCAGTGAACTGTTCGGAGATCCGCTTGAAGAGCTCTTGGATGGCGGTGCTGTTTCCAATGAAGGTGGCGGACATCTTGAGACCCCGAGGAGGAATGTCGCAGACTGCAGTTTTAACGTTGTTTGGGATCCATTCTACGAAGTAGCTGGAGTTCTTGTTTTGCACGTTGAGCATCTGCTCGTCCACCTCCTTCATGCTCATGCGCCCACGGAAGATGGTGGCCACAGTCAGGTAGCGACCGTGGCGAGGATCGCAAGCAGCCATCATGTTCTTGGCATCAAACATCTGTTGGGTCAGCTCTGGCACCGTCAGAGCCCTGTACTGCTGGCTGCCACGAGATGTCAGAGGAGCAAACCCAGGCATGAAGAAGTGAAGACGTGGGAAGGGGACCATGTTCACCGCAAGCTTGCGAAGGTCAGCGTTTAGCTGGCCAGGGAACCTTTACAAAAACAAGCGCATCCATGCATAAGTAGAAATTTATAAATAAAATTGGCTGTTTTCCATCACGCTGCAAAGAATTTTCACAACTAGTCCTTTACTTATTAAACCCTGTGCAGTTGCAATCCTTGTGGTGTGGTCAAGGATGTTCAACCTTAAAGTGTTTACAAGAAATGCATGCTCTGTGTGCCAATTTTTCTCATACCATTTCTTCAAACCATTTCTTTAAACCCCTAGCCATGTTTTTTTTATTGTTGTTTCTTTTGCAGTTTTTTACCTTAAATTGCTTTTTTTTTCATACTTATCGCACGAGCGGCCCAGGCGAGCCAATGTCTCCACCACTGGAGCTGTCACCTCTCGGCAGCGTCGCATACTTGACTCTGAATGAGCCTGAGTCGTCCAAAACAGCCAAGGGGCGAGCGAGGGTGCGCGGACAAGCTACACACATCCTAAACGGTTTGGGGACGGCTCTAGGTGGACGAGCTAGGCTCGTCCAAAACAGTCAAGAGGTTAACAGGGAATTGCCCGAGTCCGCAAAGTGTCAAAGTTAGCCTTGTTTACTACGACTAAGCACAAATTCCTGACAAATTACCACCTAAAGTTATAGATACTTCATTGCCCTAACCTGAGGCATGTGGTGACGCCAGACATGGTGACTGAAACGAGGTGGTTGAGGTCGCCGTAGGTCGGAGTGGTGAGCTTGAGCGTGCGGAAGCAGATGTCGTAGAGGGCCTCATTGTCAATGCAGTAGGTCTCATCTGTGTTCTCAACCAACTGGTGCACGGACAGGGTCGCATTGTAGGGTTCCACAACAGTGTCGGACACCTGTTGCCAAAAATATTCAAGATATGGGGTCAGCCAAATGTGGACCTGGCATAAAGTAGTGCAGAGAAATATTTCCAGTTACGAACAGTGTCGTATAGCTCATTAGCAGTTGCACAACGTGTCGGAACATGGGCGTGACCAGTGGCATAGCCAGGGGGGAGGATTATGGGGCCTCAGCACACACCCACCCCCCTCTGCACCCCAAGTCATGGACGTCCCAACCACCTCAGCGCTCCCCAAAAAAAATTCCTGGCTACGCCACGGGGCGTGATGGTAACAGCAGCACCCCAACACAGGGGTACATTCATGCGCTGTGTGGCTGGGAACTGTTTCTTAGTGTAGCCTCGACACTACTTCCAAGGCGGTGGGGGTGGAGATGATACCTTGGGGGAAGGCATGACGCTGAAGGTGTTCATGATCCGGTCGGGGTATTCCTCCCTGATCTTGGAAATTAAAAGTGTGCCCATGCCCGAGCCAGTGCCACCTCCGAGGGAATGGGCAAGCTGGAAACCTTGGAGACAGTCGCAGCTTTCAGCCTCCTTGCGGACAACGTCCAGGACGGAGTCCACCAGCTCGGCCCCCTCTGTATAGTGACCCTTGGCCCAGTTGTTGCCAGCACCACTCTGACCTGCAAGAAGGTGAAAGCATCTCGTAATGAAGAGTGAACGAGGGCAGGCTGCAAAGCATCTGCTACGGTGACCCACAGAAGGAACAGTGTTCGAGGAACGGTTGCTTGCTGTCGCTAATGTCACTTACTGGCACGATGTGACTATAGGGAGCTGCTTGAGGAAGTTCATTTTACAAAAGCGCAATTTGGAAAATATGCCAGCTAACCGGTATATCTGGATATCTGTCTCTTATCTTGGTTAGCGTGACATATTTTTTCCATGGCGCAACAGGCTCTAGATAACAACAAAACATGATGCTATGACAGACTTCGTAGATGTCAGCTCTTGTGATTCTTCGAGGCAACTCTTCTTTTGTGCACCACGACATTAGTTGTGTGCGAGGAAACATCGCTAAACTTCTATTCTGGTTTATAGAACCACAGCTGACCTTGCCAAGGCAAAATATTGGGTGTTTGAGAAAAAAAAAATGAAAAAAATGAACTCTTCAGGAACAAACTGCCAGCCACGGTGGACGTGAAGAATTGAAAGAAAAAAAAACATACTAATTACCTAAATAATTAACTAAACCTTACTAATTACCTTTTAATTAGTGAAAATAAACATGCTTCTAATGAGATATTTGCTAAGCATCGAAATCCACTACTAAATCAACTCATTTTAGAAAGGGACAGATGCGGGTGTTTCCAAAAAAAAAGGGGGGGGGGGAATGCCCCTCTCCCCCCCCCCCTCTTTCCCCGCCCTAAATTTTTACACATGCAGAATCCAAAGAGAGAGTCAGGACATCCCCCCCCCCCCCCCCCCCCCTCTAACTCCGCCACTAAAAAGCAACATATTTTACCCTGTTACAAAAACAAAACAAGAAATTGGACTCGTTTTTAGGTTGTGCGGTTTCCTACCGGAGTGCTTCTTTGCGCCAACGGTCCTGCTCCCCGGTGGCTGAGACGCGTAACGCACGTGCGCCATACTATGACTTCCCATGAGGGAGGCGACGCGGTAGCTCCGCACCTTGGCCACCGGGAAGCAGGACTGCTGGCGCAAAGGTGCGCTCCAATAAAAAAACCAAATAAAACTTTTTTTTTTTTTTTTTGGCCTTGTCATTCTAAAATGAGTTGATTTAGTGATCTTCGATGAGGCTTAGCAAGTTTGTCTTTGGAACCATATGCATGTTTAACTTGATTGATTCAAAAGTTAATTAGAAAACTTGAATTAATTATTTAGCTAATTAGTATGTTTTTTGCACTCCTTAGCACATGCCGTGGCTGGCAATTTGTTCTCAAAAAGATTTTTTTGTTTCTGTTTTATTTTTTCTTTCAATTTCTTTATTTTTAGGGATTTTTTTAAAGTCTTCGCTCAAACACCCTCTATGTCTTCTGTACTTTGTTCTAATACACCTCTCTTGATAAAGAAAACTACACTGACTTGACTTAACAATATTAACAAAGCAAACGTTTCGTCTCCCATCCGGGAGACATCATCAGTGCGTGTTCAGGGACACGAATGACAGGAGTACAGAAACCAGAAGGCTATTTAAGAACAACCGCGTACACTTTGAAAAGGGGGCCTCGGTTTGCATTGCAGGCGAATATGCGTGACTACGAACGCACCACGAAATTTTTTTAGAGTCGTACTGCATTCGTAGTGACGCATCCGCCTGCAGTGCAAACCGAGGCCCCCTTCCCGAAGTGTACGGAGATGTCCTTAAAAATAGCCTTCTGGTTCCTGTACTCCTCTCATTCGTGTCCCTAAACACGCACTGATGATGTCTCCCGCATGATAAACGAAACGTTTGAATAAATTGGTAATATTGTTAAGTAAAGTATCTGTAGTTTTCTTTATCATTATGAATCCTGGCTTTTGGTACATTTTTGCATTTTCTTACACCTCTCTTCTAAAAAAATTCAAGTAATGAAAAAATAATACATATCAACGGTTCATGTCCAGAGATGATGATGAATTTGATATGCATAAAGGCCCTGAGGCCAAACAGAGCAGGATGTGGTGAGTCATAAGTGTAGCACAACGCGGCATGCTTTGTCCATTAACTAAAGAATTTTCCTGTGACTTTTTTTCTCTATGCATCTTAAGTTTTTAGTTTTGAAAGAGTGAAAGAACAAATTTCATCGAGCTGAGATTAACTTTCTCGTTTCTCCGTGAAACAAACGTGTTTGTACCATCACAAGCGTCGAGAGGGTAGACTTCAACGCACGACGGGCGTGTATTGCAATGCGGCCGAACTACTATCGCGCTGTTCAGATTTCGAAATTATCTCAGCGTCGGGGGAAGGCGACTTATTCCAAAGAATGAACACGACGGTGGTAGCCGTCCACGAGAAACTAAGGTCATAACGGACCGAAGATGAAGTTGTCTGGCCTGAAGAGCTGTCCAAATGGCCCAGATCTGACCGAGTCCATCGTGCCTGGTTCCAAGTCAAGAAGGATGGCACGAGGCACATACTTGCCACCTGTAAAGAATAAAAAAAAAAAAAAGAATTATAGTATATGTTGATTCAGTACTCCACACGTATTGTTTTATTTTACTCTAAAAAAAAAAAATATTAAAAGCTGCAGCTCGAGTGAAGGGAACAAAAAGAAACCAAAGCGCGCAAGTTTAAAAATGAAACAAGAACGCGGTCACCCGAAGCATCTTGACCCAGTGACACAGATGCGGGCGCTCATCCCGGGCGAATAAAACATTAAGCCTAATTCCTTGACCAAATAAAGCGTCCGTCCACTACGTCGGACCCGAACTCTTTTCCGTACGCCACGCGCGAAAATCAAAAACCCGAACAGAAGTTCGACGAGCGCCTCAGCCGAAGAAAACCCGTTCGCGACCAGCGCCTGTCTCGTGTACGTTTTAATGGAGGCAACGCGGGCGACCCACTTTCGAAGGCAATGCGCAATTTGGTTTTATTTCGCCGTCTGTGACGCGCAGATGCGCATGCATAGGGTACACGTCAACAAAAAAAAAAAAAAACTTCTTTTTTTTTTTTTCGACAGTGCTGCGCGTAGCTGCCGATGAAGAGGCAGTCGGATTCATATTTCCTGCCCACCAAAGTTTCTGGGCGGTTTTCTGCCCACGGGAGAGAGCGCACTCCTTCTATGGCGTTGCACCGCGCTAGTTGAGACGACCCCCGCGCCTGAGTCCCTGAGTCACACCCAAGCGCGCGTTTCACGTCCTCGTGAGAACTCCCACGTTTGCCCCACTTTTTTTTTTTTTCTTTTTTTCTCCTTATTTTGTAATACACAGAAACTTGACTCGAGAGAAGCGTCTTCCGTTGAGTTCTATGATGAGGTGAGCCAACAAATACAAACCGCACAAAACCAAAACAACATGACATTGGTTAATAATCACGTATTGCCAATTTCTTAAAAGCAAAAAAAAAAAAATCGCGTATGTCTGTTAGATTTTAACTAAATATTTCTTTTTAGAAAACCAAATTTTATCAGGTGAGCGCTCTCAAATATTTCTGCAGCGAAGCCGGATAAATGAAAAATCCAAGTGATTAAAATAGGCTAGCTCAATTGCTATTACATACTCAGCTGAAATTGTTCTTTCGTGCAGGAAACGAGACATGTTCGGCATTTAAAACAGAAAGCGCCGCTGTCCTTGAAGATATTATAAAGCCTTATCTGGGCTGCGCTGTTGCTAAAATTTAGAAAAGGTTTCCCGAAAATAAATTTAAAGTCGGCCAAAACTCACTTTTGCTGAAGATTCAGACCCAAATTAAGCATCGAGGGCCCTGATAAAAATATGCGGGACGCCTCATTAGGTATACATGAGCTTGTTACCTTGCAACAAAACAAAAGTTACCGGAGTAAATTTTGTTTTAAAAGAGACCGAGAAACCTTTGAAGCTGAGCAGCGGCGTAATCGGTTTTCGTGATACATACCATAATGTGCCGCCCTAGGTGCCTTCGGGCCCCAAGCGCATGCTTTGCACTGCTTTGTTGTGCAAAATAAATAGCAATAAAACAAGGCATGGGGCATGTTGCGCAGTGAAGGCACAGTACGGTACTACGAAAATTATTACGCCGGTGCTGAACTTCAACATTTCTAAATTTACTCCGATAAGTTTTGCTTAGTCACAAGGTAACAAGCTGATGTACCTAATGAGCCATCCCGCATATTTTTATCAGGAGGGACTCGATTAAAGTTTGGGTCTGAACCTTCAGCACAAGCGAGTTTTGGGCGACTTTGAGATTTAATTTTGGGCAAGACGTATGCTTTATCGTTTTAAAATAATATTGTGCTTACAAACCGCCCAGCCCATATAAGGTTTTTAAATGTCGCAAGGTCAACGGTGCTTTCTATTTTAAATGTTGAACATGTCTCGTTTTCTGCTTGTTCACTCAAAGAAAGAAAAAAGGAAAAAAAAGTTCATAATATGAAGTGTGGCATCACACGAAAGAACAATCCCAGCAGAGTATTTAAAATAATTGAGCTACTTCCTTTTAATCATTTAGATTTTTCATAAACTATTTTTAAAGTTATACCTAGTTCGGGTTCATGCAGAAATTTCCGAAAGCGCTCACGTATTCAAGATTCTTTTTTTCTAACAACAAATATTTTGGCGAAAATTTATATATAATTTAACCAAAAAAAAAACGATTTTTTTTTTTTTAGGAATTTGCGATGGCCAGCATTATCGTCTTTGACATGGAATAGCCCAGCAAATTTTATGTCTGAGAGTTGGCGTAAACTTGCTCAAAGGGAAAATACTTAGCGTAGCGGTAAAGTGCCCCTTCGCCCCATCTCAGATGGCTGGACAGTAGTTAACTACCCATTAAAAAAACACGTCCCAAACAAACTTTTTTTTTTTTTTAAGTGCTTAAGTAGGACAAAAAAAATGTTTTTGTTTTGTTTTCGTAAAAAAATATATAAGCGCAATATTTACGCCGCGAGACACATTTTGAGTTGGGAGCGATTTCGAAACAAACTTTTATTTCGAGAATGAATTAGTTTCAGAATCGCTCTCGCGGCTTACATTTTCCTTTTTTTTTTTTTTAGGAAAGAAAAAAAAAAGGGGGGGAGGTTTATTTTGCGACATACGTGTCAACAAAATGTATTCTTTTTTTTTATGTGCAGTGCCCTTTTAAGGCAAGAGACAACCCCCTTACTCTTTCTACGCGTGCAAACCACTCGTCTTTCCCCTTCTTGCGACCAGTACCAGCAAAGGAATGCAAGAATAACGTGTCCGGCGCAAAACATGTCAATCACACTGGCAAACAAACAAAATGGCGAGCACGATGCAAAGAGCGTTTCATTTCTCTCACACTGCAACAGTCTGCTCTTGCACTTTTTGTTTTGCCTTTTTTCGGCGCGTCGAGGCAGACAGAAATGCCAAGCATGTACGAGCTGAGGCCGTTCAACCGAGCCCAGAGTTCACGGATGAAGGCGCTTTACGAAATGCGAAACTACAACCCCCCCCCCCCCCCCCCCCCCAAACCTTTTTTTTTTTTTTTTTTTTTTTGCAAAGTTGATGGGAGGCCGTAAAAGGATGGACGGACGGAATAAAAAGCAAAATGGAAGGTTTGCGGGCTCTGAGAAGAACGAAAAAAAAAAAAAAAAGATAAAATCCTTTAAAAGTTTCGGCAGGTCTGGCGGCAGCGCTTCACGGGCTAATGGACGAACGAGACAGTCTGAACTTGGCCCAGTCTGATACATAAAAAAAGGCAAAGTCACGCTACGCTCGGAACAGGATGCAGTAGTCATTATGCCTGGTCGTTACACTCTCCGTAGGCAGCGCGTTTTCTGCTATTCCTCGTTTCCTTTCGAGGGAGGATAGTGTCCTCTAGATTGGACGCAAATGATGTCTCAGAAGGCCGCCACTATTTTTTTTTTTTCTTCTGTCATTGATTAAAAGTGGACCGAAACCATAATGTGTATCCACTGCAGCCTTCCTGATTCTGGAATTCTTTTACGTACAACGTCGCCGGCGTGGGTGGTGGACGAAAGCATCCAATGTCAAAAGCCCCGTGTCAAATGCCCCGCGGCAAACACCCCGCCCTTATTGCCCCGCTTTCAAAAGCCCCAGTTTCAGAAGCCCATGACGCGAATCCCCTGTGTCAGGTGGCCGGGGGTCCTACTGAGCGTGACGCCGGGGCATTCTGCCTTTAGTGTGCACGCAAGCTTGTGTAACGTTATCATACCGTACCTGGGACTCAAATAAGGAATAACTGGATAAAGCATCTTGCGACGTTAAAAGTGAAAACAAACAGAAAATACCAGTCACTGTCAAAACATAAGTTACAGCTGTTATCAATGAGCAGTGAACCGAAGCTTTCGTCGGCTCTGAAGCACGCGCGAATTCACAGTTCCGACCCGCAGCCCCTGGCGCCACAGCCAAACAGATCTTCTTACGTCGTTCTAAAAAAAATATGCGTAACCATCTAGGTAGATGAAGTTTAGAATTCTGCGTCGGAGCTACCTCCATGACATCGGAGTACATCGCTGGTGATGTAGATTTATGCAGTCAACCTTATTTTGTTCCTTTCACTGAAAAGACCCTTTGTAGACCCTCAACATATTACAAGCGCGAAGAGGCTGGGGCGGGGCAGTGAGGACGGCTAGGTGGCCGCGGGTTATCGAAACGATGGGCGCGGGGTTTTTGCGACAGGCATTCTGCACAGTGGCGTCACAAAGTGGGGGCTAGCGCCCCAGGTTCCGCTGACCCTAGTGACGCCACTGATTCTGCACGCGGGGCAATCGTGCTGCACCCACTGGCGCCATCCTCGCCGTTAACAGCCGCTCCGGTTAGCCTAGAGTCACTGAAGAGCCTATACTTCTAGTAAGTGCACTTCAGCCATCTTGATGTTTAAAATCATTGTTATCATGATGTCGCAGGAAACGTTTTGTCCATCCTCCACAAATGCTCAAACAGTACGCGCCAAAGCAAACAAAAACATCACCTGATCTTCCTAACAAAATAAAATTAAAAAAAGTGATTTAAGTTTTAAAAAATCAAGTCAATCGGTTTTGTTTGATTTAAATCAGCTTCATTTGATTTAAATCGGATAAATATTTAAATCACAGTAGCCATAAAATAGTACTTTTGAATCACTAGATATATTTTAAGCATGGCAGGTTGTTGATCAATCCGTCCGATCACTGAAAACAATGCGGAAGAAAGAACCACTGTAAATTTAAAGTACAGTTTAATTAACAGGAAAACCCGCCATAATAAAAAACAAAAACAGATTTTTTTTTTTTTTTTTTTTGGGGGGGGGGGGGGTTGTTTGTTTTCTTTTGCGTTCAGATTTTCTCAAGACGCGCGTTTAGAACGATATTTTTCGTTCTAAACGCGCGTCTTGGTACTATACGTCCAGGCCTAAATAATTTCTATGGGTGAGCGTACTTCCCGTTGTGGCGCTGCTCTTACTAGCATGTCACGACATTCCATCGAAGCTTCACAGACATCCGCGAGGTGGTTTTTGGTTATCATTTTATTCGGTTTAAAATCCTTTTTCTTGCGTTATCCTACGAAATATTGGTGTTGGTGAAGTTCTACTTTAACCCGCTTCATGTTCAAGCAAAGAGATGCGCTCCAGATTTTGGTTTTCGTGCCCCTTTAAATCATGTCATTTTTATCATTCACCCTGTTCCTGACACAGGTCAGGATGAAGTTGCCTTTTCGAATAGCAGCTATCGCCAAATGCCCCTGCTCCGCACAAGACAGCAGAATGGCGGCGTGCACAAGGCAATCGTGGAATGGAGTGTCGATACTTTAATGACCGAGTCCCACTAGAGCAACGAACAGAAGCAACAGACACCGACAAGCCTCAAACACGTGCGGCATGCACGCGACGGTATACCTTTGGCAGGTTTGCAGTGTCTCGGCGCTCGTGAAGCAAGCACGAGTGACTGCAAGGCTGCCAAAAGATATCAGGAAAGAGCCTGCAGCAATCGTGATCAGTCAACGGCTTTTCTTCGCGAACCCTACAAGTTATGCACGTCTGCAAGACCAGTCTCAGGTCGCCGCCATCTTCCTCAGTGGGTTGCGCTCTTGGGCGCGGCATAATCCGATTACGTCGCCTTAGCAAGGCTTCGTAGTCGGATTATGAGTCGTCCAAGCGCACCACAGCCAAGCATGATGGCAGCGCCCTAAAGCCGGACTTGCAAACGTGTTCAAAGAGGACAGTCAAGCGACTGCTGCTAAACAAATTCCAAATGCACCAGATCAAAGGGATCAGTGGCCGAGTGGTCGAAGCGCACACCAGCTCGGAGCACGTAGGGTGCCTTCATGTGCGCTTCGCATAGGGTGATGCCAACTAACTGTTTCCCTTTCCCACACCCTCGTCCACCGCCATTTTGTTCCTCTCATTGTTTCCCCGTGCGTCGGAAAGTGGCCTTTGTGTCCATCGGTCCTCCCATCCGAGGGGGGAAAATGCTAATCCTCCCTCCGTGGGTTCCACAACGCTGCTCCGAACTTGTGAGATAAGGTGCCTGTTTCTGGGAGGGTTATAAGCCCACGGATTATCGCCGAGGACCAAAATGGCTGCTGGTTTGTCGGCGAGTGGTATTACAAAGGGTGGTATTACAAAGGGTGGCATCACCTAGACTCCCTAGGAGCACGTAGAGCGAAAGCTCGCGCTGCAGAACCGAACCCTGGGTTTAGTCCCCACCCCTGCCTGTTTCGATCTGGATGAGCATCGTATCGGTGAGCGATCGTGTATCACTACTGCGTAGAGCATGTTTAAGAACCCAGGCTACCGGTTGTACCGCACTGGCTATATTGCTCATCTACAGCTGAGAGACAACTCGCCCGTTGAGGCAGACTAAGTTCAGGCTGCCGATCAATTTTAGTTCTTTCCTTTGCTGCAAAGGTGGTGTTATGAGCGAGTACCGCGTCTCCTGCGCAATGACCGCGTCTCTTGCGTGCACTGACCCGAGGCCTCGTTGTAGTAGACGTTGATCCTTTCCAGCTGGAGGTCAGAGTCTCCATGGTAGCTGCCCGTCGGGTCAATGCCGTGCTCGTCAGAGATCACCTCCCAGAACTGAAAAGTAAGAGAGGTCAAGACCAGAAGAAGAAATCCTTGTTCTCTGTAAGAACGGCATGAGCAGTTATTCCGATTCACGCAAACGTCGATTAAAGAAAAAGAAAAAATTAAGCCTCCTTGCAGCTTGCATTTTACGAACCGGACGCACACGTGTTCGGAAAGTTCGGTTCGCAGTTTCACGAAAAGCAGACCACAAACCATTGATCAAAGATACTCGTTTATTCCATTTAAAGCGTCCGCAACGCAGCAAAAAGCAAACGACGTTGGATGTCCTGACAGCGAGAGGTAGATTGGTCTGCCTTTGAGGAAAGGGGCGACACTACAGTTCACGCTGTAGGTGAGAAATCGAGCCACTGCAGTACGACTGCCGAACTGGGGGTCTTAAACAACGCAGTAGGGATCACACGAACGCACACCGGTCGTGCAATCGTATATTGAACGCTTGAAGCCGTTTGCGATTATATATAGGGGGTATTCACTGGACACCATATTTGAGTGCGCTGTTCAGAGCGCATGCTCAGAACGAGCTCACATTAATAGCTCCTAAGACAGGCAACCTTGATGATGTGGAATGCACGTTGCAAAATAGCTGGAAGCTCGCTTCATCAATTTTACAAGTTGCTGCTCAAAGCAAGAGTGCTCGCGGACTTGCGAAAACAGGAAGTACATTATCGCGCTAAACGAAAAGCAAGGTCAAAGTAGCCCGAAACCCGTCTTCTCGCTTTGCTGTTATTAGGGAGTTGTAGTAGACCGTTTCCGCAGACCGCTAGGCATGCGGATAGCGCTCCGTAATCCTTCACAAGACCTTGAACTATGCAGACAAGGCTGGTGGCGCGCATGCGCAGCTGCGGCGTTTTCTTTACGGATACCGTAGCGGAGGAGAAAAACGATCTACTACAACTCCCTATTGTGGATGACCGGATACAGCGCAGCAGCGAGTTCATGCGGCGTGCCTCCTCGAGGAGCAACCTCTCGGCCCTACGACCGGGAACGCTCAACATGGACCAGCCCGTGCTGACAGCGCGCCGAGTCATCATCGGGCACGGTTCAAGAACCAGCCTTCGCGACGTCGTAGTCCCGTAAACATTAGAGCCACTGTATTTCGAACAAACATCGGTGGCGAGGTGGACTCCTCTTCGCAACAGCGATCCTCAAATGAACGTCTCGCGACACGGGAACAATCCACCTGACAACTGTGGCATTCTTGAAGAACGTCGGCAGGGCCGCGTGGTCTCGTGACGGGCGTGACGGCCGAACAATAACTGGAGAAACCAACCCGTTATTTACGATGACACGCTGGCAGTATCATCGCCGTCCAAACAGCGTCGCGCTCGATCCCAAATGCCGAGTCTGTCATCCCGTCTCTCAAGGCGCGATGGAAGTTGTATGTTCGCCATTATGTTGCTCCGCAATGCAAGAATACAACGTCTTTGGAGGAAAGCAATTTTGGTGCAATAAACCGCTCATTTCGAACTTGCCGCTCGCTCTTTGCCGCGAGATTACCTAGTGCGGCCGAGCTTTGCTACGATATCAAGTCGGCGTGAGGCGAGGGCTTCCATTGTTTGCAGAGGGGAAGGGCGGGGGACGTCCTGGCGGCCCGACTGACTGAAGAGCGCCGAATTCCATCTTGGGACAGCCAACGGCCAGCTGGACGGGAAAAGGTTGCGCCAAACAGGTTCCTTCGCCCAGGCCAGAGGACCACACTCGCAGAGCGGGCCACGCGCAAGATCGCGCGCCCTCCCCAGTCGGGGCCTGCGCTCCATCTTCGGGGAAGGCAAATTACTGCAACTGCCGTCGACACGCAGGACCGCGGGTGTCGGCCGGAAGGAACTAGGAAACAGTATAATAAATTAATGGAGTGGGTCGTCGGACGTTCAAGTCGCCCGTGCGTTGGCCAACTGTCGGAGGATGAAGGAAGCTTTGACCGATCCCTTCGATGATGTTTTCTCAGGAAGTTTGGGGGGAAAAAAATACTGACTTGCGTGCTCGAAAAAAAAAAAAAAAAGTACGCTAATGCGCTATATTTTTTTTTTTTTTTTTTTTTTCTGGTCGTATTGAGACGCGTAGGCAGGGTTTGTCGGTCATAACGCAAGTGATACCCTTTCTTCTCCCACTTTTGATCCGCAAGTGTATGTTTATCACTCTTTATTTAAACACTTGCATGCTGCTCCGCCCAGATGACATTATTGCAAAAAAAGAAAAAAAGGAAAGGGGTAATATAAAAAAAAAAAAAACTCAACAAGAAAAAAAAAAAGGGGGTACAGAAGACTTTTGGTCATCTTATGTGCCCCTTCCCATCGAATGAACTTTAGCTGGTTCGTTTGGTCCGCCCCGCAAAACATAAAGCATTTTAGTGCTAAGACGTGTCCAAATTATACATTAGCAAAGCAAGAATTACCTTCCTAATCGTTAAAAACAAATAACTTTATTATCGAGGAAGTTATGTGGTTCTCAGCTAGATCGGCTATGACGCGTCACGTTACGCTTGAGCGGATGTTTGTACTTCATTTCTAGGGAACATGCCTTTCTCCACTGCGGATAATGCGGGTGGAATGCTCCCACATATTATCGACTCCTCCCAACTAACTCCACCGCGGATGGGCCGGGATGGCGCATGATGCTATCCGCAATGTTCGATACACGACTGCCGCGTCCTTAGATGACCCCCTCAGTGAGGAGAGAGCCCTTCTTCGACAAGGCTTGCGCATAGTTCGTGCTTACAGACATGGCGGCAAAGGTCAAATGACATCGCCATGTCACACGGTAGACAGAGTCAACGTCTGACGACCGTGAATATTGAATAAATGAAAAATTGTACCGGAAAGTAAATATGCAATAAAGGGATCACAGATGTTTTCGCCCCACCGATGGAGGATAAGTATTCAATATTTCCAAGAAGAGAATAATATAATTTTTTGTTCTTATAAACCCAACGTCACAATTCCCGCCAAAAAAAAATCAGATTTTTTTTTTTTTTAAAGGTTGTCAGGTGGGAATCCAAGAGCCTAAGTTTACACGAAGACCACCTATAGAATGAAAAGTTCAAATAATGTGCTGCAACTGGTAACTTGACACATTCGCTGAAATAATGACTCGGTACACCGATAACGTAACTGAAACTCTCGTTGACACACGTAGTTTTGCCGAACTTTGTTTTTCTTCCTGCGACGGCATGCATGCTTGCAACAGATTGTGGGTGTGGAAAGAATGATACATACATACTCTGAACATATACAGTGCAGATTATGTTGCACATTCTTTCTTCACCTAAATACATGGGTACACACACCGTCTACACGGGACCGCGTAGAACAGAAAATCCAGTTGTTGCCGTGGCAGCCCGCTTCTCACACTCGACGTAACTATGTCAGATTTTGACATTTAACCAAATCGTATAGTTATTTATAAACGAGAAAAAAAAAACACCCATAATGTTTTACTCTGTCCGCGATATACACCGCACATTCCGCTAATCCACGAAGCGCGACAGAACGAGTCAGATAGAGGCTTGCTTACCTTCGCTCCAATCTGGTTCCCACACTGACCCGCCTGAATGTGAACGATTTCTCTCATCTTGTTTACTCGAAGTTTGCCGTCCTAGCGCAACAGTTCGTATTCCCTCGAATGGCGCCAGCGCCGCGCCTTCCAAACTTATATGCGCCGGTCCTCCGCAGTCTAGCGCAGTGGCGCTTTCGTCGCCGCTTCCAAACATGGCCGTCCGCTTTCGCCGGAGTGGCCGTCGGAGCAGCAGGCGGCGACCGAAAAACCGGTCTCGAAACCCACACAACTTCCAAAGTCATCGCGCTCACCACCTCAAAATCCCTTTTTTTTATTTTTTTTTATTGCTGTGTGCATACAAAAGCCAGGAATGAGATACTAATACACCGGTGTAAAACAGAATAGCAAATATTTGTTTACCATTAAAACCACATTCTATATAAAAAAATAACGCAATTTTGTATCATAAAAAAAAAGAAAACATAAATAACGTACCGACGTGGCGGACGTAAAAGATCTGCAACGCTTGAAAAACATAAAAAGCTAATAGATTTTTTTTAAAGTATTGACGCTACTTTTAAAGTAATTTTGGAAAATTGTTTTTCTAAATCAGTGATTTAGAAGACTATTATGGACAAAATACAAGCAAACAGACATGCGGCATGCCACACTTCGCCCAGATCGTGGTATATTCGTGTCATCCCGAGGACTGATTGATTGAAAATATCTTTATTTCAGAAAGAGATTGGGGGAGGAAAGAAGGTGTTTATCCCAGTTCCAGGATTCCCCTGGCCTCCAACGCTGCGGTGGCCCTCTCTACCGGTCATGCAATGCTGGCAGGTAGGGTCCTCGCCGCCCAGGATGGCCTACCAGTCCCGAGGAGAACCTGTCACCCGATAAAGAGCGACGAAGCACCTGATCTAACACATTCTTCTTCCAGTTTCGGGTGAGTTCATAAAAGGTAATTGGTTACGGCCTTCGTCTAATTGCTGGGCACTGTCAAACACACGACCATGCAAAAAAAAAAAAAAAAACACAAAAACACAAAAAAAAAAACGCGGAAAGTAAAGACAAACACTAAGAACACAGCAATCAGACAGACGAACCCGTCTACGTTCGACATTATGCCCATTCTTTAACCTCCTGACAGCTTCAAAGTCGAATACCTAAATGCATTCTGCGCGTGGCCTCTTCGAAAATATCTACATGTACGTAAAAATAAAGAAGAAAAAAAAAAAAACGAACAGATGAAATTACAAGTTTTTGTTTTTTCTCAAGAGATTTTGAAAGTATTTTTTTTTTTTTTAATATCTTCCTCCTTAGCCTTAATTAATCCTCAACTCAAAAGCGAAATGAGAAATCACGTGGTCGTCACGTGCTTGTGTACCGGAGACCATGACTCCAAGGTTTCACAGTCATTTTTAAGCACACCGTGGAACTTGTCCTTCGCAAGTGATGGTAATGCCGCCACGGCACTCATTGGCCACGGACGCGAATCCAAGTATTCGTCGACAGATTGATTGTTGACGAGTGCATACGTCCGAGTGACGCAGTGCTCGTGTCCAGTGCGTGAGCTGGGTTCGGCTTTCGTGTTTGGGAACCGCGGATGCATCACAGTGAAAAGGCGCAGAGCTTCCGAAGGAAAGGAGGAAAGAAATAGTCCGCTATATTTTCAAACTGTCTTACCGTAAGGCAGGCTTTCGGATTTCTACCCTCGTGTTCTAATTAGTGAATTCTCAATCTAAAAGCATTTATCCCAGCCTAAAATTAATTTTATGGAATTTAATGGGCTACGGAAACAAAATTTTAGCTCTTATTTCTTTGTTTAGCCGGAAACAACTATGTGTTAACACCTTAGCAACACCAGTTTTCCGCCCGTAAACGCACGAAAACTAATTTTAAAACGAATAAAACAATTTCTCAGTATCACCTGGTATAACAATAATCCCCGGGGAGGTGGAACTAGGGGGACAAAGGACAAACAAATCTCCAAATAGCTTATTCTCGTCCAGCTCGCGGCAGCTTTGCATTAATTGCATTAACATCATAATCACGTGGTAGTTGGGAGGTCGGTGTAGAAATGACGTTGAATGCCTCCCGTCCCAGCGCCACTCACGGCAGGACAGTGCAAATGTATAAACAACTCGGGCTTGAACAAAATCGCGAAGCTTGGCGAAGAAATCCACAGTGCTTCCGCAACGTGCCTTCCAAATTATCAAGATCGCCGTTCTTAGCAGACGATAAGTAGGAGCTTGATCTCGGGGTCCTCTGCCAAACACACCACGTCCCCCCTCTCCCCCGGGATGCACTGTAAATAACGCGCTCAAGTATGGCACCTAGTGAATAGCTTATGCACACAGCTTGAAGGTGCCGCCATTGCTGGGTACTGACGGTTATTTCTACTTACTTGTTCCTTGGAGCAGCTGCTCCTGCGGTGTGAAGCTAACACGGTGAACTGTACGCTCGTGGCACCTAAAATACTGCCATGACCGCGAATGATGTTACGGGCAAGCTCCTCGGATATTCCTACTAGGCGAGATTGTCACGCGTTGACGCCACCAATCGGCAATGCTCGCAACTACAGTACCCTTGGCCGTGCAGAGGCCCTTGACGTCACGAACGCGATACGCATTGCGCTTCTCGCTGGCCGATTTTGAAGCGAGAAGTAGCTCGCGACGGGACGTCATTTCGTTTCCGTACCCCTTTAATGCACGGTCCGAAGGTCTCTCGGCACTTTGTCATACGACAATGCTTCGTCTCTTTTAAATTGCTAACCACACCAACAAACATCGCTGAAATAGTATTCCAAATATTAGGTCAAAATATTTTTTCGTTAAGTTTTAGAATTTATAATTTTGGCCCTCACCGCATTTTACAAACTGAAAATCTCTACTGGCAACAACGAAAAAGTTACGTCAGTGGAAGTGCAGGGGTTCACTCTTTGGACTGTAGAATTTGTTCCCAACTGATTCCAAGCAGTTTCACGGTGTCGAATGAATGCTTTGGAAAGCTCGCTCCAGTACCCCCGCACACCAGCACATAATAAATGCTTGGCATAGTGTATTTTTTAGACTGCTTGCTCGACTGGCAAGCCTGCCTGCCACTAACGTCACGTCACTGAAAAGTGTGGGTACATTTGAATGTTGGTTTTTGCATCATTTTCAATTGCCCATCTGGATTCCAGGTTTTCCAAAATCATTCCTTTGTCTGCAATCTGGATTTCAGGCTTCCAGAAACAATTCCAGTTAGATTTCCAGTTCCATGGTCCAGATAGCGAAAAGTTATATCGGGTTTTGGGGTAGGGCCGGTAGCTCGAAAAATTGCGTTCCAGAGACACGCAAGGCTACATACACCCTTTCCGAACCCTTATTTTGAGTAAAGGCCCGTTCATACACTTGCGGCTCCTTGGGACTGTGTGCTACTTTTGACATTGTTTATCTTGTCACAAAGGGCAGAAAACACATCTCCTTCCTTCGAAATGTTGCGATTCCGCCGCAAAATCGCGAGGCAAAAATTAGAATATTCCCCAACCTGCAGCCGCGAGCGGCGGCCATGAGAACCACGCGGTATGACGTCAATTGGGGACTAGTAAAAAGATAGGAAGTTGTGCAAATACCTGCTCGATAAAAGGTAATTTTTCTATAAATCCTGTCGTTCCAACATAAATATAAATGCGTCAAAAACCTGGTATCATCGACAAAACGTTTATTATACGGAGTTTTAGTGGCGCCATCTATCCGAGGTCAACAAAACCGTCAGCTCTACTTGCTACCGCAAATAGCCTTCAGAAGCCGGAAATGGACGGGGGCAGAGCCGGACGGGGATATCCGGACCCAAACGAGACTTTCCTCCTTTCGCCGTGTTCGCGCTGCGCCTGCGCAAGCACGTGGTCACGACCGGGTGAGTTCTCGCTGTTCACTGATGGTTCTAGAGAGAGAGCTTCACCGGAACCCCGCGCGTCCCCCATCCACGTCACAGCTCACGTGACTCGGAAGATGGTGAAGGAGTTGAGGTACAAAAACTCTCAATCTTTGTCAATTTTTAAAATAAAAACTAGGACATGCAGGCAAAAGCAGTTTTTTGTTCTTTACTTCAGAAAGGTCGAGACACCAACTCTCAAAATATTTAAGCAAAGTACTGAAATTGTTGCACAGCTCCTTTAAAGACCTCTTCCGACGAGAGAACGCACTGCCACGCTGGCGCTATGAGGTTACCCTGGAACATCATTTCGCTAGAACGAAGATTTTGCAGTATTTGCGAGGTCAGATATACGTACTATCGTTGAGAAATTGTTGTTTATAACATTGTCAAAAGTTTTTTTTAGTAAAAAAAAATAAGAAAAAAAAAACAAGAGAAGGAAATATGCAGACACAGAAAGTGTTCCAAGGCGGGAGGTGTACCAGCAGTTAGATGGCGGCAGTGTATTCTCTCGTCGTTTGTTTTTGCCTACAGCCTCAGGGAACAGATGTCAGCACGGGCAGAGCAGGGTCGGCGCCTTACCGAACTTCAGGGCGGCTTTAGACGGGGATGCTGATTGAAGGATAAACCTTTGACACTCACGCAGTGCATTGAGGTTGCCCGGAAGGAAGAATGACCCTTGATGTGCTCTTTTCTGGACACCGCCAAGGCCAGGGATGGGCAGTATTTCAAATACAAGTATTTGAAATACGTATTTCAAATACTTTTTGTATTTTGCATTTGTATTTAATTACAAATTGGGTAATGTATTTGACGTGTGTATTTAAATACTAAAACGTGAGTATTTCAAATACAATTGTAATTAAATACAATTTTGTGGGCGAAAATACATCCCTCAAATTTATTATCACTGTCCAGAGCAGGAAGAAAACTATGTTCTGCACCGAATGCAGTGCCTCTCAATCAAGCACAAGCGTACTTTGTGATTACGGTGCTAGTCCAGGGCAAGAGTAGTGACGAAATCGACGTTCACAGGCAGGCTGGCTAACTAAGCGCCTGTGACAACTTGCGATGCTTTCCAGCCTGATTTCCATCCATATTTTTGCCTGGGACATTCTGAATGCGCGGGTCGTCCAGATTTTCGAAACTGGTGCGAGTTGCAACAGTAAAAAATTCTCTAGCTAGTGCTGCGCGTCTTGGTCGTCTCGGTTCTTTGTTGGTCTATACC